TGAAAACAACAACTGGTGGTCAAGGAAAGCAAATGAGCAAAAAGAATATTAATGGAATTAAAGCACTGCTTCAACGGCACTAAGATTATCAGCTCATCAGTCGGAGAGGTTGAAACACTTAAAAGGCGTTAGTCAATCCTGGAAATAAAGTGGTCAAGGGAGGAAGTAGTGACAGTTAAGAGGTGGGGACTGGATGTTGTTGGAAATCAAAAGTTTGGAATGAAGCATCAAGACCTGAAGACAGCTTCTTTGTCACAGAAGAGAATCAGTCCTGGCCTGAAAGGAATAGTTTTATATTTTGGAATATACACTTATGTGAATTCTGAAAGTTAAATAAGAAAGTTGATACTAATACCAATTAGCTTAGCTTAGCTTTTCTTACCACAAAGACTGGAAACAGCCACCCACCAGCATCTTTAATGGTCACTAATTAAAACAATATATCTGTGAAATGTATAAATAACAATTTGTCATTTTGTATAAGTCTAGTACAGATTAAACAAAAAAGATATAACGTGTATTAGAGAACTTTAGAGGTGCTGGTAGACAGATTTTGCTATCTTTAGACAGGGCCAGGCTAGCTGTTTCTACCCGTTTCCAGTCTTTGTGCTAAGCTAAGCTAACTGCCTGCTGGCTGTAGCTTTATATTTAGCATACAGTGGAAGAAGACAGTGGTGCAGATTTTTTAATTCGCCAGAGCGTAAGCGTAGTTCACAAAATGTGGAACTATTCCTTTAATCAGTCCGGTCCAAAGTATTTAAAGATGAGTAGAAAAAGAACAGAGGCAACTGAGCTGCTGCTGGAAACAAAATGCAGCCAAAATGAACTTGTTTTTCTTCACGCAGCACTGCATTACACCCTGACCTGGGGGATAGGAAGAACTATTCTATTTTGACTGTAGCTAACCTCTTGCAAAAGAACAAAATCCAATAAACTACACTACTTTATGTCAATGCTATGTCGATATCCTGTAATGTAATGATTGTAGTGTGTAAGTGGAGTAAATTCCTGCTTATGACAAATAACATAACAAATATATCACACCATTTTAAAAATGGCTGAATATAGAAAGGATGTATGTTCTTGGGTATCTTCAGATCTGGGCTAAAGTGTGTAATCGGCACTGTGTTGACAAGGACCAGCTGGGATTTTCTTTTGGGAGGATAATTGTTAGAAAGTCACTGGAATCATGAAAAACAAAAGACACAAAATGCTTTTTAAAAGAATGCCCTGAAGAAAACCATAATAATGAAACAGAAAGTTATCCGTTAACTTTTTTGTTAATGCTTGTTATTTTCCATAAATATGGTGTATAACCTGTTAGATACATTTCTTTGATATGTCAGTGAAATCAAATTAAAAATTCACAATAGAAACCAAACACACTTCACCTTGTAAGAACTAATTACAGAGAGGATTGTAGGAACATGATGCCTCACAACTCGGTGGCAGTCTGAACACAGTGATGCAATGTCACAGAGTTATAATGAGGAGTCAGTATATTGTGTTAAATGTCTCACCCATGCAAAACACAAAAAGATTAGTCGGTGTGATGACTGGGACAGAGCAGTCAAGAGGAAATTAAGAGTCTGATCAAGTCGACAGGTGTGGGCAGAAGGGAAATTGTTTAGTTGCTCTAGATGAAAAGGATGAGGTCAGACACAGTGGAAGGAAACAAAACATGATGGGAAAATGAAAGTAAAGACGGCATTACTGTTGACTCATCAACGTTCTCATCTGCAATAGTTTCTTCAGCATGGGTCCCGTTTTCCACAATCTGTGCCTTCTCGGCTTCCTGTGTCAATGAAATGATCAGGTTTAACATGAGAGTATCACTCAGCATCCAAAACAACTGTTTGGATCACCAGCCAGTATGTCTTTTTGAAGTGACAATCACTCTGAATACTGTCCAATCAAAATGGTTTTCTTGTAATAAAGTCCATTATTAGTATCAATGTCCATGTTAAATAGTAAGAATAAAGACATAACTGAATTTTGTTTTATGTCAGTCTGGTCCAGGTCAGGTGTCAGGTGATATTACTCACCACAGAAGTGAAAGTGAGTCCAATTTTCTTGTGTATTATATTACATTACAGCACAATGACTGACTCCATGAAATAGCCTCATATATTCTAGTGTACAGAAGCTTAAACACTGGAATGGTTGTTTAATTTGATCCAGTATGCAACTTATTCATGTGTGATATAGAAACATGAAACCCACCAGTGCACATACACTGAGAATGGATTTTATCTCGATTTTTCTGAACAAATTTTTTCTCAGACAAAATGCTACAATACATATATTCTTTTATATTTTTTTTTATCAAATTAAATAATTACTTTTTATTTCTGAGGTAGGGTATAATCTGTGCAAAACAATGCATACTGTATTTAGGGAAATATGTATTTAGGCTGCCACACTTTTGAGTGCCGCACCAATTTTAAACAGGATGGTGCATCCTCAGTTTTAAAGTGTTCACATGCAGCCACCATGTCATTGAGCCTTGATACTGACACAAGGAACATAGGACGTAAAATATGTTATATTTTTGTTATATTTTAATTTTATATTTTAACTTTATTCTATTCTTCTATTTGTGTGTTGTGTAAAGGGAGTCGGCCAAAGTAAGATTTTCATTGTACGTATAAACCACTGTGTTTCTTACTGAGCATATGACAATAAACCTCTTGAATCTTGAATCTGCCCTCTGCTATGTTACTTTAAAAAGACCATTATGCTGATAACCAATTTGAATCTTGACATATTGGTATTGCTCCTGTCTCGTGATTTATCATTAAATCATCAAACCAACAATGTATCATAATGTCACATATCATTCACTACAAACAAGCTATCCTCCAGAATATGATTTATATGTTTAAACATATACAATGTATTTGCTCTTTGGTTAAAACACTGTTGATGCTGTCCCAATACAGCACATTTACAGTCTGAAAAAGAATGGGTAAAAGAAATTAGATTATTTTGTTTTGAGTTTTTTTCCAGAGTAGAAAACAGAAAATAGTTCTAACCTTTGACCCAGGGGGAGGGGGCAGCCCCAGGAACTCATACACCGAGTTGTCCTCCTTGGCATCGAAGAACGTGTCGTAGTCCTGCATGAAAGTAAAACATTCTTTAACAATTCACTACATCTTCTGTTCCTACTTACTCATCACGTGCACAGGTCTGCACGTTGCACTAATGGCATATAAGTTAAAGTGTAAACTGAGTACTATACTGGAGAGGTTCACAAATTTTGAGTCTTTGAAAGTGTTTTTGTATACTTACCCCACAGTAGCTCTCTTCGTTGAAGATCTGGGGGGGCAGGGGGATGCCGTTGGTGGGCTTCTTCTCCGTGGGGACGTTCTGCCTCATCCACATGCGGTTGTCCTCATTGCAGGCAATGTCCAGCTGGGTGTAGTCCACTTTAAGAGCTTCCAGGAAGCCGACCACATCTTGTTGCTTCTTCTTGATCTGGAATAATAATTAGATAACGTTGAAGCTGAAAAATGCAGCATTCTGGTGCTTCTTTCGGGACCATTTAAATTTAAAATCTGGTACATGACACTCCCTTCCTTTGTTGGTCTCCAGTCCTTGCAACTAAATGTATAAACTAGGGCTTCAACGATAAATCTCCAACAATTCTGGTAATCGATCAGATGTTCAAGTTACTTCAAGCATGTCAAACATGTTTGTTTGTTCTAGTGTTTCCAATGCAAGCACAGTATGATACTGTTTTGTTTTTTGCTTTTGTTCATTGTTACAGATTGAATATTTTTTTATTAGTTTGACAGAAAATGCAATATGAAGATGTCATTTTGGTCTCTGGGATATTAAGATTTTTTACTATTTTATTACAAATTATAATGAAAACAGTTTAGCTACTGATTAAAAAACGAACGGTAATGAAATCAACTGTGAGTTTCAGGCCCAATTTAAACACCCAAAAAATGAAAATATTTTTTTTTTTTTTAAAGTGTATAAATAGTGTAAAAGTAAACTTAAACACAGTATGGGACCTACCCCAGGATACACTGGGTGGAAGACTCACAATCTGGGAAACAGGCAAACATGCAAACAAGTCCACTGAGGGGATAAAACCCAGGTTTCATTGCAAGACAACACTGCTGACAAACTGGGCCACCATGCCACCCCATGGACTGGTTCAAACTGCTTATTTAGCTTTGCCAAAAGTAGACCTGAAGGATAAATCCACCCTCCCTGCTCTGGCTATCAACCCACATAGTGTACAGACATTTACTTTAAGATATAGTATAAAAACACTACAAAGAAAGGCCGTTTCTTAGGGGCAATGCCTCTCCCAAAACCGGTTATGTGGTCTAAAACCGTCTGTATGTCGGGGTCCGTGACATGACCAGCTTTGGGAGCCCCTGTTCTAGAAAGCTCTGCATGTGAATCACATCGACCTGGGAGATAATTAAAGTCCTGAAGCACCGCTAGCTCAAGCTTCAATCTCAGCACGAATCAAGTCATAACCACGCCAATGGGCTTTAGGTGTGCAAAATGAAAAGCAAGTGACATTAATTTCGAAGTTTAACGCTCTTGAGTGAGTGTGCGTCCAAGTCCTGCTCGGTTTAAGGAGTACAACCACCAAAGTTCACTCTAATGAGTAATGAGTCGCACAGGCTGGAAGCTTACCGCAGTGGATCCCGATGAAGAGGCGAGGAATACTTTGATAACCATTTTGTTACAATATATTTTGTAGACTATGCAACAAGTAGGCTCTTAAAGGAGCAGGCAACCTCCCCTATTATTAGAGCTCACCCAGGACGCAGATCACACACACACACACACACACACACACACACACACACAGACGTACTGCTGAGGCTATTTTTGTCTCCAGGCTCCATTAGTGCGGGATTGGCGGGTTGGCCCCTAGGGGCGCAGCACCACACCGACTGATTGGCAACTTCAGCTGTCTGTCGGCGCAGGGGACAGTGAAGTTAGTCTCCAGCTCTTTGCTGAGTGCATATATGGACAGAAATAGCCCTGACCAGCACTATAGGCTGTAAGGCTTTGGTTTCCTAACGCAGGACCTCGGGCCTGTTAGGGGTCCTTAACAGAGTGGGAAATTGTGGTAATTCAGGAGAGGTTGTTGTGAAATTGGGGACAATGTGCTGCTTCCCGTGAAAAGAAATCAAAATATAAAACCTTATTTCTAATTTATTTTTTCCAAAACTGCAAACAATTCACTTTGAATTGTGTAAAAATGAGCTCCCTCGTTCAAAATGCACTGTGGACACTGAAAATACAATTTGAAAGAATGCCTTACTGTATACTATTTTTATTGTTTTTCGAACATAATTTTATATATCTTATTTCTCATCTTATCTACAATAAAAGTGTTCCCGCTTCACGTTACGTCTGCTGGTTACCATGACAACCGCGGAAGTGCCTTTCCAAAAAGGCCCCTAGCAACCGTTGCTTTAGAAAATTAAGAAATTAGCATTAACTACCAAATATTGATAACCTGTACTGTCGGTAGAGTTCAACAGGAGTGACGGCTCCACTCAGGAGCAGGAAAGGTATGATGCTCTTATATTGGTTCTTATATTCTTAAAATGTGTCTTCCCTTAACTAATGGGGGAGGAAATTAGATTTAATGCAAATCGGTCAAAGATTATGGGGACTAAAGAGGAAACTCTAAACAGGGATTCTACATACAGGCCCTTTTGTATGTTATTTTTACTGGGAAAGCAGTTTAATAATCATTTTGTGTAAGTTTGTATTATCAGATATGTTTTCCTTAAATTGTTGCTCTTTTTTCATAGTGGAGAAGAAGTGATGTGTGTGAGGCAGCAGAGCCTGATGCAGCAGACCTTTGCTCATAAGAAGGAGGGTGACGGCGATGCTGTGAGCTGCAGCACTGACACCTCCAGGTGGTCGACTACCCCCAGACCGCGCAGTGGCCCAAATACCTCACACTGCTCTTCTGACTATGAAGACCAAGCTGACCCGCTTACAGACAAGACCCCAGAGGCCAAGTCATCAGTCAAGAGTCAAGGATCAAAGCCATCCAGAAGCAAAAAGGGTATTTTATTTTATATGATTTAATACCTGTGCAGTTGGGTGGTATGTATATATAATAAAACTATATTGGGTGTAATTCACACTATCACAAGTAAATACTTTTTTCTTTTCTTCAGGTAAAAAAGGCCCCCACAGGCAGAAGACAAACTACGCTGCAGGACGCCAAGTAGTGAAGTTGCCTCCAATCAAACCCCTGCAGGTTTCAAGGCCAAGGATCAAGTCTGCCAACTTGAGCTGCATCAGGGAGCTGCAGAGCCAGGTGGGGGACCTGCAGCAGCAGCTGAGCGAGGCCAGGACTGAGAACAAGCTGCTGAAGAGGGTCCAGCATCGCCACACGGTGGCACTGCAGCACTTTCAAGACTCAGAGGGCAGCCTCTCTCAGGTTGGTTAGTTGGTTTTGTCCCTTTAGTGCTGCCTGTGCTCGCTGCTCAGATTGCAAACAGTGGCACAGAAACATGGCTTTTGGATGATACTTAGATCTACTGCCATGTATTATTACATTTCCTTTCAAGTTCATTGGTTTATCTCTACAGGCTGAAAATCAGAATTTTCTTTCTTTTTCCTAATGTTTCTCTAATTAATTCCTGTGTAATTTCCCAGCACTCTTCTAATCATTCCTCTCTTTATTTTGACATCACGCCTGCTCCCAGATCCTCACCAAGCATAACAATGAGGCCCGAGTCCTGCAGGAGTTGCTCCGTGAGACCCGCGCCTGCCGTGACAGTCTGGCAAGGCAGCTCCAAGCCACGGAAAACAAGTTACTGAGTACCAAGGCCAGTCTCCAGCACCTACAGCTTCTCAGCCAGGATTACAGCCTGCTGGAGAGGGAGGAGCTCACCCTCAGGCTGACCAGGGCCACTGCAGAGCTAGAGGACAAGGACAAGAGGATACTGGTATGGAGGAGCAAGAGGGTGGGATAGTGGTGGGTGATGCTGTTCAGAGTTAGTGAGGGAAAGCCAGTGTGACATCCTGTACATCCTAATATACTGGGGATATAAATAGGAATGGAAACTTCTGATTTTATGCCTTTGTTCGCTTTCTCTTTAACGCTTTATTCTAGGACTTGGAGAGAAATCTTGAGTTGTGCCAAGTCTCATTCAGTCGCCAAATAGTGACTGAAAAAAGAAAGTTCAATGAGGCGATAAAGCTATCCAGCTATCTGCAAGAGCAAATATATCAGCTTAACAGGTGCCTTCGAGTAAGTTGAAATGAGCTGTTTCCCAGGCAATATTCTTCACAGCATTACACATATCCTACAGTCAGTGTTAATACACAATATTGTTTATTGTACATGCTTCTGTCTTAAGTGATGGTAGCGGTGTCTTCCACATTATACTTTACTAATCTACAAGCAGCAGGGTTTTGAATCCCATAATAAAAACGTTGGGTTCAGACTGAAGATTTGTGGATCAATACTTTCCACAGATTAGTAAACCACTGATACTGAAGACTTGATGGTGTACTTCCTGCTTGGTAGGCACCAATAACTAAACACTATGAAGTTACATGTAAACATTTTACATTCATAGATTTTATTTCATCTTAAAATTATAATGACATTCTAAAGTAACGGTCACATTATTTGCTTGTGTAAGAGACATATGTGATAACTGGTTATGTATGCAGTAGATACTTTGTTTCCCCTATACAGGATAGAGAGAAAGAACTGGAAATACACAATATTTACTCCCACAGATTCCTAAAAGGATTTACCAAAAAAGGTATTCAAACACTACAAGCTACTCTAACTCAGTTTGGCCATATCTCATTTGTTGTCACTTAGTGGCTTTCATCCAACAGTCTTTTGTGGTTAACAGGCAGACAAAGCAAGACGGTTCAAACCGATGGATTAATCCTCCTCCCCGATGAGGCTGTGAGTCTTTTGGAGTTGGAATATACTGAGAGTGAAGAGAGGCTGGAGGAGCACGAGAGCTCTGTGAACTTGGTATATGATTCAGATATTGTGTATTGTCTTTTCAGGGGTTTTACACCCCCATTTTACTCATTTGCCTACATTTACTAGTTTAAATGTTGATTTATTCTGAATGTAGCTGAGACAGTAGGATATTTCAAGATGGTTCCTTACCTTTCAGATCTCAATTTTTTGTCATTTATGAATTTGTGTTATAATACAAATAATTGATAATAAGATGCTGCTCACATAAAGCCTGTATATCATTTCAGTGTTGTAATAACCCTGTGCAGACGTGTTTGGAAATAGAAAATCCAGAGACAGATGTTTTGGTAAATGTGACATTAGAAGAGAATCACCAAGAGGATACTGAGACATGTGCAGGTGAGCACTTAATAAATGTCACATATACAGTATAATGATAGTATAACTAACAATGGCAATGACACATACACAGTTGGTGAAACAAAAACTACCATAGTGATACCAATCCACCTACAACTCTCTACAAGACAACAAACACCACAAACATTCAGAGCAAACTTAAAATGGGGTCTGAGCAATGAAAAATAGACATGTTTTGCTATTTGGTCATTCAGTACTTTTTCAAAAAAGCACTTTATTTATTTTCAGACACCAGTGAGCAGAACAGCCTTTCAGAAGAGAGCTTAGAAGATCAAACTGAGGGAGACTGTGCTGAAGATAATAAGGCAACAGAGGCCCCACAGGTGTCAGAGGAAGAGCAGGAAACAGAGGAACATGAAAGCGAGGTGTCCTACATTTTAGAAAAGTCTCTGAATGCCACTGAACCTAAGAGAAAAGGACACAGGCTCTCGAAAATCATACGTAACTACACCTTCTCACAATCTACTGAGAACCTGCACAGTGGAAGACCTGCCTACAGCACTGTGGACTTGACTCCCTGTGAAAGCACCCAGAGCACGATGAGGGTGGAGAGCCTCCACAGTGGGATTAAGGAACTTCATCTACCAGCTGGGAAATCCAGAAGAGGCAGAGAGGACAGTCCTCAGTGTGAGTGAAGGGAGAAAGAGTAGGCTGCAGAGGAGCCCTTCCATCCAAGTACAGAACAAACATGGCCGAGGGCAAAAATGTCTATACATCTATATTTTATAGCTGCCATAGACAGGAAAACTGGATGAGGAAATTTTAACTGTACTTGAGTATCTCTCTGAATAAATGATTTTTCGACCCAAGACCTACACAGTCTAATTAATCTAATCCATTTAACATAAAAAAAAATACCTGACTCGTTTTTGTTATTTATAACATTACAAGAAATAAAAGCTTTTCTTTTATTGTCTTTTCTTAAAAAGGCATTTCAACACCACCACATCGTTTTTAAATAATATACAGTCAAAACATCTTTACAATTAACTTAAAATTAACTTAGAATTACCAGGAAATAACAAAATTAATCACCAAAATATTACATTGCAACATGAGACAAACAAAATGCTCTGCATTTTTTACATGTTGCCCTGAAGGAGCTGATACAAAAAAGACAAAAAAAAACTGTGGCTTGAGCAATAAGTTGAGCAATAGGTTAGAAAACCAGTGTATTGAACCGGTATATTGAACTGGAGCCTCTAGCTGACAGCATGGAGACCCAGTGTAACTACTTTGTTGCAAACCACCAACCAGCATGTGATTCCCACTCCACCTGAAAGGAAAGAACAACTCGGTCAGTGGATGAATGAACAGTTTAAAGAGAGTGATAGTACAGCACACTGTAATTTATTCATACATCAGCATTAAGTGTGAATCAGTACAAAAAAGGAATGCGGCTTTATTGTTGTTGTATACACAATTTCTGTTGTATTACAGAAAAACGATATCCTGTACGTATGTGCTATATTGTTATACGTGAGTCTGCATGTATTGTTTGTAAATTATATTCTATAAAATATAAAAAACTGATTACCTGCCACTCCTGTTGGGAAGGCCACAAGACGCTCCACAGGGGCAATCCATTTGCTGGGGACCACCGTCACTGGATCAGAGTAATACTTCCATATCAAAGAGATCATCACAGCAGCCTGACAGATAAGAGACATATGTAGGTATACAATACGTAATAAATAATAGTATATTATACATAATAGGTAAATTATAATATATTATTAGCTTATCATGGTACCAATATGAACTTTTATATTGTATTTCTAAATGTGTCAGCCTAAATAGCATTAACTGGAGGTTTTATATGTAATAGATGGTCCATGCTTAAATTTTTTGTTCTGAATTAGCTCTCTGTGTGGGTCTCAGAGGTACATTAGAATCTACAACTCAATGCATTTGTACTTCTATTTACAATTTCCACTTACCTGCAGTATATAAAACACAATGTTTACAACCCATTTCATTTTGGCTTGTTGTGCTGTTCTGGATTTCACTGCAAAATTAAGGAAACACACAACTGTTAGACTCAATATAATCAATAGAGGCTTTTGTGGTGGTGCAGCCTTGATTAATACTACCCTAGTGCCTTTTAGTCTGTCAATCAGACTGAACAGCCATTTTGTTTTACTTCATTATTTGAGTCTGAAACCAGGCTATGTACCTACTTTTGTACATTCCCTGATCATGTTTCAACCAGTCAACAGGGTAACATGAATTATCACAACAGTGTGTTCTTTGTAAGGTATTGGGCGAAAACAGTCTCAGAAACTACTAAATCTAAATTTGCTTTGAGTAAAACTTCATAAAATAACTTTCTTTGTCAACACAATGGCAAAGACTATGAGTCAGCTGTTTGAGACTAATATGTACAGTAAAACCACTATTGTGATTGGTTCAGGGCTCAAACTATTTTGTCCTCAAACATTGTCTCAAATTGAAGTTCCTTTTTTCCATCCTACATAATGAATATTGTTTGTTCACTTTGTTGTGTTAACTCACTGTGGAAGTTCTGCTAGCTGTTCCCTTACATCTGAATAACAAAGTGAAATCACCAATTTTCATTGTTCTTTTAGTCATTGGTTGAGTTGTTGTTTCTTGCTTATTTCTAACAGTTTCAATAAATGCATAACTGCAAACTGCAGTGAAAATGCAAACCTCTGATAGGTATACGGTGATGGAAACTGACATACACCCACATTTAACATTATTATTGTTTAGCCAAATAATCACAAACTCCCTAAAGGCACATTGGATATTCCCTACAAATGAAGGGAGAAGATCAAACAAACTATTTAAATATTTACAAACTCAAACTATTTACACATAAGCTATAGAAAACACCTTGATCCAGAGATCCGGAGAGAAAGAGTGAGAGAGAAGGTCAAACAGGTTCCACATGCCACACCTACTGATTGCCTGCACATAAGCCAAGAGGAGAGGTAGAGACCCCGGTGCTGCGATAACTCTGAGCAGCATGCAAAGGAATTAATTACAATGTAACATTAAAATATATTTTTGGCCCTTCTCCCTGATTGTCTGAGAAGTCCATAAATTTGTTGCTAGTTCCTTTTTAGAAATTAAGTCACTAAAAGGGTCTAAAAAGTCAATAAATCTACCAAGAAAGGGTTAGGGTTAGTTGGCAACCTACTTACTTACTAGAGTTGATTTTCTGTGTGTAAGCATGCGTGTACTAGAGGTGGGCGATATATATCGTTTGTGATAATATCGTCATTGTTGTTTTGACGATGTGCAAATTTCCATTATCGAGTATTTAAATTACTTCGACAAAAACAATGAAACGCCTGCGGAAACTCCTAACATCCATTAATACACGGTGCAGCAGCGCTCTATACAGCATGGCAGGATTCAGTCACACCACTAGTGGGCCTACGTGATCACATGACGTGATCACGTGACCTCTAGCTAGCATCCTCCTTGCAACAGTTTAGCAGCGCGTTGCGATGGTAGAGAGAAAATGCAAGCACCTCCAGTCCCTGAAGCTACCGGTACTTCAGTAATTTAGTGCCGAGACGTGGGTCCTATGGGCTTCAGCGTTCAGAGCGCCAAGCGCCTTCAGCGGTAAAAAGATGTCAGCGGAGACGTTTTTTTTTTAGCGCAGAGCTCAGAGCGCTTCAAGTTGAAATCTGTTCAACTTTTAACACCGCTGGGCGCTCGGAAAATGAGTTTTTGAGCTCTGTCAGCGCTGTAAACGCGTTTGGTGGACACAAGTCCAGCTCAGACAATTCTAATCACATTTTAAAGGATATCGACTGATTATCGTTATCGCCAAAATCCCAAAAAATATTGAGATATTATTTTTTGCCCATATCGCCCACCCCTAGCGTGTACCTGTCTTCTCGAGCTCGAGCAGCTCTGAAAAGAGGAATAAAAAGAGCTAAGGCGGCCCACAGGTTGCGCGCAGAGTCCCATCTGTCCAGCAACAACACACGGGAGGTGTGGCGGGGCATAAAAAACATCACAAACTTCAGAGGCTGTGATGCATCTAACGAAGACCTGAGTGGCCACTGGCAGAGGAGCTAAGCTGCTTCTTTGCTTGCTTTGAAACACCTCAGCAACAACACTCGTCTGCCCCAGCCCTGCCCCCACCCCTACCTGGATCCTGCACCACTTCACTCACTGTGCAGGAGCACGATGTCAGACGGGTGCTCCTGGCAGTGAACCCCAAGAAAGCTGCCGGCCCAGACGGAGTACCTGGCAAGGTGCTCAGAGCGTGCCCCTTTCTGCTTGCCCCCACCTTCAGCAGGATCTTCAACCTCTCCCTGGCCCAGGCAGCCATCCTGCCGAAGAAGTCTACCATCACCAGCCTGAATGATTACCGTCCGGTGGCCCTTACTCCGGTAATCATTAAGTGCTTCAAGAGACTGGTCCTTCAGCACATCAAGGACTATCTCCCCCCAGACTTCGACCCTCACAAGTTTGCATATCGTGCGAACAGATCCACAGAGGACACCATTTCCGTAGCTCTCCACTCGGCGCTGAACCACCTGGAGCAGCAGCAGAGCTACGTTCAGATGCTCTTTGTGGATTACAGTTCAGCCTTCAACACCATAATCCCGGACAGACTCATCACCAAACTGGACACTCTCGGCCTTCCCCCTCTCACATGTGCCTGGATAAAGGACTTTCTAACTAACCGACCCCAGACTGCGAGACTCGGCCACCACCTCTCCTCCACCTGCACGCTGAGCATCGGCTCCCCACAGGGCTGTGCGCTGAGCCCCCTCCTGTACTGCCTCTACACCCACGACTGCAGTCCGGCCTACAATGACAATCTCATCGTCAAGTTTGCAGACGACACTACAGTGGTCGGACTCATCTCTAAGGGTGATGAGGCAGCCTACAGAGAGGAGGTCCTGAAGTTGGCAGCCTCGTGTTCAGAGAATAACCTAGCTCTGAACACCAAGAAAACCAGCAAGATTATTGTCAACTTCAGGAAGCACAGCACCAGCGGGTGTGTGGAGAGGGTCCACACCCTCAGGTTTCTCGGCGTCCTCATCTCCACCGACATCTCCTGGACAGAGAACATCACAGCAGTCTGCAAGAAGGCTCAGCAGCGGCAACACTTCCTGAGAGTCCTCAGGAAGTACAAACTAAACCCCAACCTGCTGCTGACCTTCTACTGCTCATCCATCGAGAGCCTGCTGACGTACTGTATCACAGTATGGTAGGTAGGCAGCTGCACCGTTGCAGACAGGGAGAGGCTCCAGAGAGTTGTAAAGGCAGCACAGAAAATCATTGGCTGCCCTCTCCCCTCCCTGATGGACATTTACACCTCCCGCTGCCTCAACAGAGCAAAAACCATCACCAAAGACAGCTCCCACCCTGGCTTTGACCTATTTGAACTGTTGCCCTCAGGGAGGCGCTACAGGTGCCTTAGGACCAGAACATCTTCTTCCCAAAAGCAATAACCACCCTGAACTCTCACATGCAATGCTCTTAGTTCTAACCACCCCAACCCCCGGACTCTCAACAGTCACTATTAGACACTGATAGTTACTTTGCAATACCATTCAATGTGCAATATTACACACCATAAATGGGCTATATATATAATATATAATGTCCATATATATATATATATATCTTACACTGACTGTATATAGCACCGTATTTATTTGCGAATGTACACACTCCTCAGGCCTGCACACCCTACCTCCCTCTGTTGTAATTATTACTTCATGTCCTGTGTTTATATTGTATATATTTGGAAATGTACACACTCCTCAGGACTGCACACCCTACCTCCCTTTTGTATTATCTCTTCATGTCCTGTGTTTATATTGTATATACTTTGATAATTGTACTGTTTTTGGCACTGCCATTGGAGTTGGCTATTTAATCTCATTGTACATGTGTACAGTGACAATAAAGGCATTCTATTCTATTCTTTGCCTAGAGCTTGTAGCAGTGCCACGTCACATTTTCTGAATTTGAACAGTTAAATTGATATAGGTGAGATTGTTTTTTTATTGTCCCAATCTCGGGGGCCAAATAAGACTCAATTTCAAAAGCTACATTGGTTTGTAAATATTTTAAAGTCTTACAGAGTACAAAATGGAACGTATAGCTTGGTCATGGGAGATTTAAACGGCTAATGAGCATCCAGAGAAATGAAATATCACCACGGAAACAATCTGAAACAGCCTTTGCTCTGCTGTACATGTGTATCGTACTGAAATTCTGTTTAGCCACTTCCTGTCTGTGCACAAGATAATCCTGAGGCGGAGGGTAAAGGACAGGCAGCAGCTGTTCATACTCAGTAAATATGTAATCCAAATCTTGCTACCACTTCCTGTGGTTGGTGGTTTTAATGTGTCAAGCTGCTGTTGAAGACACACACAGGTGTGGAAGTCACAGTACTGGATGTGCCTTTTAAAGTAAAAGTGACATAGAAGAATCTATGAACCTATGGAGTAAACAACATCAAAACAAAAAAACATCCTTCCAATTAACGCTCCCTTTTTAGAGCTTGTGGTCATTTTTTGTTGAGACTGTGTTGATTGGTATTTAGAGGTCATAATCTATAGCGCTGCTGTATGTTGTTACTAGATGTCCATGAGGTCTGTTTGCTATTGTATAGGACATTTTGGGGCTTCTGTCACATCCTGCTATTCTACCTGTGTCAGTCACAATCATTGCCTCCGTCTCTCACCGTGTGTTTTCAGCTTGTCTGTCATCTTGTTGATTTTGCGCTCCAACCTGGCATATCTAGCAAACTCATCCATCATGCTAATGGAGGACTGCTCCTTCTTCATCTCCTGGATTTCAGCCCTCATCTCACTCTCCTGCTCAGCATCTTTCTGCACCATCTTTGAGAGCTTGAAAGAAGGAAAAATACTATTACTGAGAGAAGATAGAGTTCAACTATGATGTAGTTTATTGTTTCTGGATATAGAGGCTCAGTCACACAAGTGTTCAAACAATAACTGTGGTATCACCTGTGAGTGAGTTTTAGACTATAGATTGTCATTTTGGTAAGCTATCTTTAGCAGTAATGCTAAGCTGTTAGACAACGTCAACATTTTTATCTAAACAATAATGGCGCAGCATTAAAATGTTTCCCTCCTTATGTGCAGTATACCGGGATCTCGGGGGGGAAAAACCCCACCCTCCTCTGACTGTAACAGCTACGTTGTTTCAAGCTACCTAGCTTAGCTTATAGCATCATCCATTAACTAACTGTAAGCTAAGCTAGTCATCAATGGTGTGATGCCTGTGGACGCTACATGGATTACACTACAGCATACACCTTCAAAGCAAACACTTTTCCTCCCATATTTAAGTCATAGTCCCTACTTACGAAAGAGGATATGGACGGCAGGAGTGTTTTCATGAGATTACACAGAAACACCGACCCCAGCACAAGAAACCACGCATAGCCGGTCGCCATGTTTGTTCCTCCTCCAGTCTGCCTCCTTGTTGCAGCTGTGGAGCTGCTGGGATACACAGCGCTGTAACACAATGATTAGGCCATATGGGTGACACTGGCACAAAAAACACAACACAAATGAGCTCATTTGGCACAATGTTTTTCATAAGAACTGCAGTCAAATGTGGTGAAATGTGGGATTTTTGTGGTGTTTTCTTTTTCATAAAAAAAAAAGGTTTTCATAATGTCAGTATATATGGAAACTTTAACAACAAAACACATTGGGGAAATGAAACATTTTAAAGACTTTACGTGCTTCCTCGCATGTAATGTTTATGCACATACGTATCCTATTTAACTCCTCGTCATATTTACATGGCTGCCATACATTTCCCACATCTTGCACGGACCCTGGGAACAGCCCCGTGATTAAAAAAGTGAGAGTTTTGGCTGGGGTTTACTGATTGGCATACAATCCTGCCCACACAGGTAAGATGTTATGGTTCAAAAATGTGTTGCCTCGACGTCAAAGCCAATCACTGGAAGCCAGGGGCGGGGGATAGCCCTTCCTGGTGGGTTGGTAGGATAAGGAATAAAATATACCGAGAGGAAGATCCAATCCGGTTTGAGCTAGTTCTAGTACTGGTCGGACGTTTATGTTAAGTTACAGACTGTTCTGGAGGTGTAGGCTGAGGTGTAGGGACAGTTTTCCTCAACTGTAAAAGGCTGTGTTATTCTCTTTTTATATCTACCTTAAAAAATCTCTGCCGTACAACCTAAGCAACAATGGGAAGGAAGAAAGTAAGTCAATGTGTACATTGTGTGGAATGTGATACATACAGTACATTTCTTTAGTTTAAAAAAAAAAAAAAAATGTATAGGTTGTGTTTTGTGTTTCGCTACAATGTTTCTTTTCACCCCGCATGAGCTGCAATGTAACGTTGTTAATACTTGCTACAAGCGCGTCCATGTGCATGCATCAAGTCCACCTTTGCTGTGCTCAGGTCTGCCTGTGTCCAGCCCTGTTCATACAGGGAAGTGGCGCCTTTTTACTTAGTACACTGAAACATGCATTTTCATCGAGCAAGTTATCGCATGTTTGCACGGTCTCGTCTGCGACCACTCAACCTGGTAAGCAACCTGGCTGTGGTTTTAATGATAGTTTGCCTTTCGCTGCGTGCTGAGATCAAACAAAGAGGTGTAACCACCGTCGATGAACAGGTTGCCATTTCGAGTAAATCTCTTATTGCGTTATTGCCTCTGTTTGCTTCAACTTATCGCGGTATTGTACAGGCAGCTGTGTGCACTTTGGGGGTATGTCGTGTTGTTTTTATGCGCATTTTCTGCCCGCATTGTCGAGATTTTGACCTCTGTCTGCGCGTACTTTAAAGCACCCTTGAGGTGTGCAGTCTTTTCTTTAGGAGCGTCATGGCAGCTTGAGATATCCTCGATAAGACAGCGACACATCTGGTCGGTTTTTTCCCCCTCCTCTCCTTCTCGTGCAATCACGTCGGAGAAGTTTTATTGAATAACTGCGTTAGTCACGTTGGCTCACAAAGCAGATTGCCTGTATTGATGTGTGGAAGCGCGTGTGGAGGTGGAGCGACACTTCCCTCTCCTTAAAGTAGCTCCAGCTCCATGCCTGCAAACAAAAACATTTCTGTCTCATGAGCGACGCATTACAGTGCTTGGCGGGAATAAAACAGAACTCGTTGAACCCTTTTTTTTTTAAAAGTCAATTTAGAAACGTGTTGGGCTCCCCTCCCCACTTTAAGGTTGCATAATTTCTTTGTGACTTGAGGGGAGGGAGAGGTGCCCATCCCCCCTTTGCATTACACACCCACTTTAGCTCACTCATGAATGGTTGTTGTTCCTGGTTTATTAATTTATTTTCCCTCACTCTGTCTCTCTCTCTCAGTCTACCGGCGATGCAGATGCAAGTGTGGAGGTTAGTATTCAAGTCTTGACACCCAGGCTGACCCAAATGGAATCCACACACCCAAATGAACATTTTGTTCTACTTTCTGTCAGGACAAAAGAGAAAGGGTCTTGGTTGGGACGGGTGGCTTTCTACATAGTTTAGTGCAGCTCAGTCTATATCCTGCAAGTGGGAGGCTATAAGGATGGCTGAGTTAATCAGCTGGTCTTAATGTGCAGGTTATTATCCAAACCTCAGATTATTGAGTATGGGGGGGGGCTGCACGGCCTCTAGTGGGCGCTGTTTAATATGCAGCCAAAATTGGTCCTTTATTTGCTACTTTGCCCATTTTAATTTGAGTCCTGTAATTCTAATAAAACACTACTACTGTATGTGGTGCCCTCAGATATTCTCAAGACAACAATTTTGGGTCCATAGCATAAACACTATATGTAAACTACAAATCCCACAATGCAGTGTTTCACCTTTGCCCCCAACATGACCTATAAAGTACATTTATGCAGCATTACTCATCAAATGTGATTCCAGGCATATTAGATCTGTTTACCTTTCACAACTGAGTGCCTGTTGCGTAGGGAAATGAGTGTAAAGGAAGGGGTTCCACTTTCAGTCTCAGTTTCATCTTGGTAATTTGCAAATGATTTTATTATTATTTCTTCAGCTAATTAATTTCACATGTGCTATAATTAAATTTTCCCTTACAAGGAGAAAGCTTTTGACTTAACCCTCAGTCTGGTTATAATTTGTATTTTTAGAAGTGTGATGCAGTATTTAAATAGATATTTCCCCCTATATTCCCTGTTTCTTACATCACATGGTATCATACGCAGAACAAAACAAACTTCTTGTTAAAAATCTGGCATGTTTGTCAGGTTTTTTTTTCCGGGGGGGGTTGATTCTGTATTATGTGTATCAATCTTGTCAATTGACTAAATTAACACCTTTTTTTTTATTATTATTTGTGTTCTTACAGCCAAGGAGAAAGTCTCAGAGGTTGTCACAAGTAAGTTCTACAAAAGCTAAGAATAAATTTCAATAAAACCAGTGCATATTCTACTATTACTGTGCATATTCTGTTGCCATAATAATAATTGTATTCTTTGTGTGTGTGTCTGTGTTACAGAAAGAGACAGAGCCAAAACCACAGCCAGAAAAGAAAAAGGTAAAAGGAAAACTCTTACCAGTGCACAAGAGCATTTAACCTTGCACTGTTTTATCCCCGTTTATACATATTTAACGGTGCATTTCATGCTGTTTGGTTTGTTTTTGACAGGCACCTCCCAAGAACAAAAAGGCGAAAGAGGTAGTAAAGGCCAAACCAGAGGAGAAGAAGAAGAAAGAAGAAAAGGAGGAAGAAGAGGAGGAGGAGGAGGAGAAGGAAGAAGCTCCCGCAGAAAATGGAGAGGCCAAAGCTGAAGAGGTATTACAAGTTCTCACCTCATGACTCCTGCCATGTGAATTGTGCTTTTTGTTCGCACTGTAGCGACATTAAAGGAGAACCGAAATTAAGTCTGCTCAATTAATCGAAATTTTATCACGATTACAATTTTGGGGCCAAACGATCTCAAAACTAATAAAATCGGGGGGAAACTATTTTTTTTCATTTTCTGTTGTTAAACGTTGAACGTAGAAAAAAGCTGTGTCCCAATTCAGGGGCTGCATCCCTGAATTGGGAGAGTCCCAAGGACAGTCTGGGACAGGATAGTCTGGGACAGTCTGCGTATTTCGCGCATGCGTATTTCCGTCCCTCCCCCATAGCATGCACTGCACATGAGTCATGAGCTCGGTATACTCGCCGTTCCCGACCTGTCGCGCGACAACAGGAGTCACAGGAGCGCCATAACTATTTATACTTGCGCCGGTTATCGCGACACTAGTTGCAGTCTTCTCCTGTCACGTTGTTTTCGTTTGAACAGGTAACGCGGAGACATACAAATGTTTATGGGGAAAGGAAAGTGTAACTGAGGACTTCCTTGCAAAGTGTTTTCGACAAATGTCCACTAAATGCAGCATGTTTCTGAAGTTTAAAAAAAATAATCGTTTGAATAATCGTGATTTCAATTTTGACCCAAATAATCGTGATTATGATTTTTTTTTTCCATAATCGAGCAGCCCTAACCAAAATGCTAATTCATGTTTTCTCCCTTCTCCAGCCGGCTGCAGCAGCAGATGACGCAGACGAAAAGGAGGACGAAGCTGAAGAAGAGGAAGAGGAGGAGGAGGAGAAAGCAGCAGAGTAGTCGTGACACCCCGAAACTCACCTGCCACCGCTCCCTGTACCTCCTTTCTTGTACAATGCAGAGATTATTTTTATCTACTATTTTCATAAGACAGCAATGTTTTTAGGGACGTGATTGCATACATGCATTTTAAAAAAATACTACAAATTCCATTTTTCATGGCTTCTGTGAAGGGAAAGTTTCAGTCATTGTATTGGGTTATCTGTTTGTTTTTGTTTCTCTCTGGCTTTTTATTTTGCCTTTTTTAGGTTGTAGTTTTCTGCATAAACGTGCAGTCGTGCCTATATCAGGAATTTTTTTGTTCAGCTTCAACGGCGTTGAGTTTACCTGAGACATTCCCGAGGCACCTTGAAGCATTTTGTAACCTGTACTGTTTTGAAACTTAATACATCATAATACTATGTGTTTGATAGGGAATAGGATGTTGAAAGTTTGAGAGTTGTGTTCTGTGCTAAGTAAGTCTCGTTTGCATCATTTACTTTAATCATGTTCACTAGTACTGGAATTGGTTGGGTTGATCTTTTTTGTTAATGCAGTCAGTGATGGTACATTTGAGGACTATTAAATTGACCCATACTCTCAGCTGTGCTCACACAATGCATTATGGAGTTAATTGTACTTGTCATGCTATTTTCACTTCAGTGAAATGGATGTGCCACACATTTGTGGCTATATCCATTGTGGTTTTGGGATTTCTCTACCAATGTACAGTTTCCTCCTTTTTTTTAAAAAAAAGGAAAAAAAAAAGAAAAAAAATGTTCTTTGTTATTAATGGTATAAAATGCCAATTAAAGTGGGAATTTCTCTTAAGTGATCAATTGTTTCTCATCAGTTATGTATTGTTTTTCATCCTGTGAACATTGAGTCAAAAGCATGGATTTCAGATTAGGGATATACATTTTTTTTTTAACTGATTGTGACCTGATACTGAAAAGATAACTTAAAATGTTTGCATTTTAAAAAGAAGCATATAACCTGTAGTTAATGCACACCTGAGAGTACAGAAAGGCTGTAAGCAAAGATGGATGGTTTAATATTTCATAGCTCTGAGCTTACTAAATATGACTGACACCACTATTGTACACAAGAAACAACAGTTCTGACTCTTCAAATGTTTAATTTTTGCTAGTGAAGTACATCAGAAAACCCAAACATACTTTTGCTTTCATAGAACATAAAGTCTATGAAACATTTTGCATAAGAATTCAAAATAACATTTATTTTTATGTGTAATTCAAAATAATGGGTGGTTTAATGTTTCAATAGTAGCACATGATTTACAAGGGTTAACTAACAATGTCCAAAATAAGCTGTAATGCATATTGTCACATAGTTTTATCAGGCAATATACAAAATATTGTATGTAAAACCTATTTTTAAATTGATATAACCATACCATGGAATTTGGGGAAAGTGTTTGCCATATGTAAAACCTTGTTCAGGATCAATAACAACAGATTATTGTGCTTGGACCCCCATACAAAGACGAGCTGCTGGGCCTTCAACAACCTTCCACTGTAAATTGTGCTGGTATGATATCTCAACCCAGATTTTGCATGGTAATTTGATTAAATACATTTCAAATGTATTAATTTACGAATATGCATCATGTAAGTATTATATCTGCTGGAATAATGAAGGTCTTGCCACAGTCGAGCTGGGGGATTTGGGGCCACTTGGGGTTTGGTGCCCTGTGGTAGTTGCTTTGCTTTGTGGGTAATACAGGTTCCGATCTTGTATGTTGAGTGTACCATTTTGTTTAAAATCGGGGCCTCTTCCTTTAACTTGTCCTTTAAAAATCTGGAATTAGATTTAGCCAGTAGAAAATGTGATTTGTTTAAAATATTATGGCTATAAAGTCAGATCCTCTTGTAACCATATGAACTAGTGTATATTTAATTTGTATTATTGGCTATAAACAATATCCCAGCCTTGTGATCCCTGAGTTCAGGTTAGGGCCCTTTGTGTGGACGGGAGCTGTTGGTGAGTTATGAGAGCTTTCAGCTATCTCTTTTATCTCAGCGACTGAAGTGAACTTTGAGTTTAGAATCAGATAAATGTTCCTAAGGTGAAAAACATCTACACTCAAACTTCATTTTGGGTAATCATTTTCCGGCTTTATTAAATGTATCTTTGGGCCCCTTGGGTTGTCCTGGCCCCATGATCACATTAACCTGTTTGGAAGCCCCAGGAAAATAATAGTTTCCATCAAATGTAGTGCACACGGCACACTATAGATGATAGCTTCTCTATATTTTCCACAGAGATCCAGGAACAACAAATCAGCACTCACACATACTCAACACTATATTATAATGTTGCCTGGTTTATTTAGGAAATAGCACCACAGTTTAAACTTAAAATGATAATCCAAACCAGACTTTGACACAAGGTCCCTCTAAATGATTGGGAAATAATGCAGGAACCAGCTGATTTTGTCCTTAAGTGGAAAAAAGAAGCAGAGACACACTCCCCTGTTTACATCAGTGGAGCTGTGGTAGAGCAGGTGAATAGTTTTAGGTTCCTGGGAATGAACATCACAGAGAACCTGTCATGGTCCTCTTACATCTCCACCCTGGTTAACAAAGCACACAAATTATACTTCTTGAGGAAACTTAAGAAAGCGAAATTCCTGTGTCAAGTTTTTGTTGACTTCTACAGAGGAGCGATAGAAAGTATCCTGACTAGAAACATCCCAAACTAGCATTGGATGGGCGCAGGACAGGAGGACTCTGCAGCAGGTGATTAAAACCACCCAGAAGATCATCTGGCTGATACTCAGCTCTCCAGCATCAATGATATCAGTGACATGAGGTGCCTGTGCAGAGCCCAAAGGATACCAGAAGATAATACCCAGCCACAGCCTGTTCACCCTGCTGCCATCTGGGAAGAGGTACTGAAGCTTCTGCTGCCGTGCCACCAGACTTAAAGACAGTTTCTTTTCTCAGGCAGTGAGACTGTTAAATTCTTCCTCGACAATTTATCATACAGATTGGTAATTTTTATTTCATAACTCATTAATAACTAATAATATAGTTGTTCTATATACCACAAGTGTTACAGGAGTTTTGATCTCTTCAGCTTAGTCCATAGTGAAATAGGCTCCTTTTCTTTACTGACTGTTTACATCTTGCTTCTCCTTTAACAAACATTAAATCAATGCAGGCCAACTTTTAGCAAGCTATTCATATCAAATAAGCTGTCCCTGCCAACAGATACAGCTTCAGGCTCAGCAGTCTTGTCTCCCCATACCCGACCCATGAGCCAGCCCTATTCCCGACTGAAGAAAGAGCAGAGCAGCATTGTGTTAAATGAGATGACAGTTGGCATAATTACAGGCGGTGTGTGGGAATTTCTTTTTTATTATTATTATTTATATTTATTATAAAATGACTTAACCATTTTCAACTAAACAAATTCAATCACTAATTATTTGTTCACATAATTAATTGTATGAAACAAACACAGCATATAGTCCGTACTGGATGCTGGACAGTTTTAAGAGCCAATGTTAAAGTAATAACTTTATGTCACATGACCAAGGTATGTCTCCATGGCTCTGATACAGACTGAAATATGTTATTCCACATTTACAGTTTATTTTTTTAAATCTTTTTATCTTTTGTTTGTTATATAATTCTACAAATGATAATGTTTATTTTAATTGAACAAGTTAATGTATATTAAAGTATTATTATGTAATAGAATTTTCCATTGAAGATTTTTACCATTGAAATTAAGTTTAAACTCTAAAAGATGGTCTTTAGCAGATTTCTTATAAAGGTAAAAATTATGAATTACATTTATGCAACATGTTGCATGTATGTCTGCACAATGATATATTTGCACAGCTCACTGTCAGTAAATATCAAGCAGTAGGTATTGGATTTCAAGAGAATTGCAAACCTGTAAAGAGTAATTAACAGTAATTAAATGCTTTGAATGGGATGACTTGGTTTTGGAGGTGTGGTTACAGCAGTTGTGCAGGATTGGTGTGGCCTTTGGTGATGGGGCCAAATGTGTATTTTCATGGGGCCCAAAATCCTTGGCAGTGCCCCTGTACTCCATTACTATACTATAATAAATATTGTACTTTTTACCCACTACATGTTATTTGACATCTATATGTCCTAATTACTTTTTACATAAAATATATATGATAATATGCAGTACTATCCAAAGCATCTAAAATGATGTCCACATTGATGAACTATATATATAATATATAAAGTAACATTTTGAATTCATAACTTTTATTTTGTTTTTTTAGACTATGGTATATCAACTTCTACTTCTTCTACCACTCCAGCTTGGAACCACTGTCATAACTATCCAGTAAGTAATGAATACCAAGATAAAATCTACCAAAAACTAGTACTTGGGAAACATAAACTCACCTCAGAGTACTACAAAGAAATTTACTTTTTCAAATTGATTTTTTATTATTATATGTACATGTACAGTATATATACACACAACCCTGTTCATGTCAGGGAACAAAATAAAGTAGAAAACAACCAAAATGAAAATATATATACATATGTGTATATATACATATATATATATACTGTACAAAAAATTTAATATAATTTTCCTTTTCATTACTTTCAAAACATAAATATATTTAAATTACGAAGAAATGAACTCACTGACTGCATTTTCACCCACTAGCGGCCTGGTTCGGTAATTTTTTTAACAAAATCTCATGAAAAAAACCAACAAAAAAACAAAAACAAATTGATCAATCATGAAATTGGTAAAGCAAATTGGCAACCATAACTTATGACGTCATGCGTAGGACTCACGACCTTGGTCAGTAAAGAGGGGGGCGGCCCTTTGCTTACCACGGCCTATGGGCTTCAAAATATATATTTACAATGCTTTTCTCTTTTACACGTGTGTGGTTTGGAGTCGTATAAATACCGGCGGTGACTCTCAAATAGTGCAAGTGTTGCTATCCCACAGGCTAACGCTCACTTTAGTCTTTTGTTGAAAGTGCTCCTCCCCACCCCCTTTTTCCTGTGTTACTCCGCTGTGGCGGAAGTAAGTCGTATCGCTGAGGCCTCATCCTTCCAATGGCGACTGCAAACAGGCTGAATAGAAAGCGGGAGCAACCGTGGAGGGGGTCAGAGCTGTGTAACCGAAATTAAATAAATATATCATATTCTCTGTAGTCATAAAGTTAGCCTAAAATTTGTTTCACCTCTCTAAATCACGGCCGATTCAATGGCCAAAAATCGGAACATTTCGCTCCTTGAGTCGGGTAAGCAGCAGAAGTAAACCCAATTGATAGCCTAATTTAGAGCGATTTCACTCGTGCTAATTGATATCCCGTTTGCTTTTCTCACGTTTTAATGTGCTCCCTGTTCAATTGCAGAGCTCTATTACTTGATTTCTCGTTTTCTAACAACGGGTCCATGTCGGAGAGCGGCTGAGGTGAGCTGGCGTGCCTTGACTGGCACAGTGTGTTGTATTTCCAAATAGTTGACTAGCTAGTTGATAATGGAGTTAATACCAGAGGCAATCTAATCTGAATCGCCCCCCTTTTTAATCCACTGCAGGTCCTTGCGAGTGAACTAGAGGAATATCAGGTGTGTATCTGCTGCTTGTTCAGAGCTAGCTGCTACCCGTCGCTGTTGACTGAGTCTGGACATAAAACTTGTCTCACTCGGTCGACTTTTTAATACCTCTGTACGTCTCACTCGTTTGACATCACTCGGCTGTTTTCTTTTTTTAAATGTGTACCTGCTGGTGTTTTTATGTGCTTTTTTTTTTTTTTTTTTTTTTTTTTTTTGTTTTAATAAACCAAACTCTTGTTTTTCGACAGCTCTTACCGGGGAGATTGGACTGGCTTGGGGACGAGCACCCGAGGACATATGAAGATGTGGTGAGATTTGACTGTTGTTAAGTTCATTGTCGGTATTGTTATTGTCTTGTGACAGGGGGGGGACTCGCTGTGTGTGCACGCTCTGTTCTTGTTTACGGTCTTTGTTCTTTCTCATGCTCAGCTACTGATGTATTTCCTTGAGTTGGGATGATTGACAAGGTCACAACTCCTTCCCACTTTGTTAATTTTTCAAAGTGAACTGAGGTTATGGCCGCTCAGAACACGGTATTTGGATAGAGGGGGTTTAATAATATTTAGCCCCGACTGTTGTACTGCAGATAGGGTGGGTTGTTCGGCGTCTTGCTACGTCGAAACGGCTCCGCTGGCCAATCAGAGGCCGAGATCTGCTGTCTCTGCGTTATTTTGCATGTGACCTGCGCTGTGATTGGTCCATAAAAGGGAAAAGTTTTGCATAAGAAGCCACGCCCCTCGGGCTTGGAGTTGAGAAGCACATGAAACCACCAACGACCCTGTCAGACATTTATTCTTGACAAAGCAGTTTAGGGAAAGCTGCAGCTCCTAGAAAAGTCTTTAATAACGTGTGTTATTATAATATAAAAGACCACACTGTGTCATAAATATAGATCCTTTTAACGTCTGTATAGATCAAATAGTATTCAACATTAAATGTGGATGCTAGTTTTCATGTTTGAAATCGGCTTTTACTGACTTCTTTATTAGGAGTGTTCTTGAAATCAAAACAAGCTGTTTCAGTTTTAACTTAAATCGTGCAGACAGAATCCTAAAAAAAAAAATCAGATATTATATAAGTCATCAGATATAGCTTTATTGGCCAAGTATGTGTAACACATGAATATTGGCTTTGGGTTTTTATTGCACTGAATCTTACACAGTTCCAGTTTACAGGAAGATTGATAGAAATAGACATGCAGCTAAAAACAAGGACAACAAAGCTGGGTTAGCAAACACATTTAATTGTAATGTAGCTACAAGTAGGTGAACTAAAGAGCTGTGTATATAAATGTATAAAGCAACAATGAACATACAATGCCTATTTATATACAATTGTAAATTATAAGCAAGAATCTGTCACCTAACAACTGTTGTATTATCAGAGTTGTGATCCGTATTCAGTGGCATGTCCCTACTCTCGCTCTGTTTGCCCTGACAGGTTGCAGCCAACAGACATATTGCACCAGACCATTTGCTACGGATATGTAAGCAGATTGGACCAATTCTTGACAAAGAGGTGCCATCATGTGTCCCAGGTGTTCACTCTCTCCTGGGGTCTGGAAAGCAGTCAATGCTCAGGACTGCAAAAGGTACCTCTAAGTATTTCTGTGGGAGGAAATTGGGACAATGTCGTGGAAATGATACAGCTACTCTTAACATTGATAAATACTGAGTTTTTAATAATATTAAGGTTTGAATACTTACTTGGTTTGTTCACTCGCCAGAGCTGATATTCTCCTTTTCCTACAGCCGAGTCATTCTGTGAACTTTTTGTTTTGTTTTTCAGACTGCGACAGTGTGCGGTTTCAAGCTTCGTCATATGCAGCCCTTCACCGGGGCAGACCACCAGAGAGGCCTTTGAACTGCAAGAAACCTCCACACCTAGGTAGGTCTGGCCTCACTCAGTATTACTCTTGTTACGTGTTTTTAAAAATCATACGGACAAATGGATGTGTCTAGAATTGGTACACGTACTTGGCATGGCATCGCCTGGCAGTGTTTTCCAACTAACCATGCTTGTTATGTGTGTGCTGACAAGTTATTGAGTTTGGGTAATGGGCACTTTGAAAAGTCTGAAGAATTCAAATCTTCACTCAGTCCTAAAGGGCTGATGAGTCACTGTGTATTCCTCTTTTCACTGACTGTCCAAATGTTAGTAAATGGCATTTTGTCAGGCTATTGTTGACAAATATCATTTTGGTGCTCTGCCATGACTTTGCCAGATTGGTCGCCTTGATGCAGTCTGTTTGGTCGCAGTCTTAGTGGTTGTTAGCATGACAATTACACTGCTCATAACTAATCTTTTTATCTAGAGATTTGCACAGACTTATTAGTATTTTTCCAATACTTCAGCAAGATTATTGAGGATTTGCCCCCACAAAAATGAGTAGTCGTATTTAAAAACATCCTTGTTTTTTGTTCATTTGAAGAAAATGCTATGAAGAGGTTAATCAACTGTTTAGAGAGACACTTTTTTCTGAAGACATGCACTACAAGCAGACCTCATTAAATCTTTTGGGCAGTGAGAACTTAAAGCAGATAAAAACCTTGGTCTTCTTGTTTCTCTGATATTTTGTCGTTTCCCACAGCAACAGATAAAAACCAGATGCATCAGACTTCAGAGCAGCAGTGATATTGTTATTGTTTACAGATTACATTTGAGTTGGGGATGGCATTTTCCTCCCATGCTGTGGATGTTTAAATCAAATTTATGTAACTGACACGGGTATAAAAAGAGAGATAAATCAAGTTAGTGAGAGGGACAAACTCAACTTTATTTGGTGCTGTGTCTAGAGGCATATGGTTTATTGGAAGACAATGCATTCACATGCTTTGGTTAAGCCCAAAAAATAACAGCCTCTTGTATTTTCATATACTGATCTTCATCCCGTGATGATAATGCCCCTCCACTCCTGCCCACAATAGAGTGAATATATCTCACGCCCACTGTATTTGTGTTGATCCCAGTGCCACTGCCGCCCTGTAATTGCATCACTATATTCTGATGATTGGCATCTTATCATCAACAGTGAAGGTCCTTGGAGGGAGAGAGCTGACGGGAGCGCAACGCTTCAGCTCCATCAATCCTGTCAGCAACTATGAGCGCATGCGGCTGCATAGGCGGATCCTGGGGCATCTGTCTGCAGTGTACTGTATCGCTTTTGATCGCACCGGTCTCAGGATCTTCACAGTAAGATGGAACTTGTCTACATGTCTCCCTGCTCAAAAATGAACCTGTATTTAGTATGCTTTTTATTTTGCTTTTGCTGTTTTTATCACACTGAACATTTAATACTGCACACGTTGACTGTGACTGTGCAGTTTTGATCAGACCCAGGATGCTTATGTCACCTTAACTTTGTGCCCCGGACTTTTCTTCCAATGAATACTGAAGTAGAGGTTATTATTTTTCTTTCTCAGGGCTCGGATGACTGTTTGGTGAAGATTTGGTCTTCGTTTGATGGAAGGCTTCATTCGACGTTGCGAGGACACTCTGCAGAGATCACAGACTTGGCGGTTAATTACGAGAACACACTAATCGCCGCAGGAAGCTGTGACAAGACCATCCGTGTATGGTGCCTTCGTACCTGTGCCCCTGTGGCTGTGCTGCAGGGACACAGTGGATCCATTACCTCCCTACAGGTACGGGGATCTGTCATGATAATCTACAGGCGTTTTAGTAATGAGGCCACCCTCTGTTTTAAAAGACAAATATAAAATATAAAATCTATAAAAAAAAGTGTCACCCCCACACTGTATCAAGCAATTGTACATATATTACTTCTATCAAAGCAAAGGAGCAGTATACCTTTTTATATTTTGAGTATTTTCGGCTATGTGGTTCTCTATAATGTCATTGTGAGATACCTTTATTGTACTCCACCTCATTAGGCAGTGCTTCACTAGTTCTAGGATGTAGATCCTTACTAGTTATGCTTTCGTTGAAGTTTGCAATCCTTCTCTTAAACTCTAGTTTCTACTCTAGCAACTGGCCAAAAAGATTACGTAAATAAGTGTTTTATTCCAAAAATCTGTTTCCATCAACCTTCATTGCATCTTCTCTTTATCACCATGACAACTTGCTTCTACTAAGTGTAAAAACATTTTTTGCGATTTGAACATGATGCTGCTTGGATGGAAATGGAAAGATTTTTAGTGTACACTAGAGAATAAAAACTCACTTTGTTCTCTTGCATGCTGAAGATCAGGGTTAATATTTATGTGTTGATTTTAATATAATTTAGTAATTCAGGTGCGTGATCTGTGAATGTCTTGTGTTTTCAGTTTTCACCTTTTGCCAAGGGCTCAAAACGTTACATGCTGTCCACTGGAACTGATGCTACCGTCTGCTTCTGGCAGTGGGACGTCAACAACATCAACTTTAGGTGAGTGCTGCTTTAAATAACCATTTGAATGTGTTTGAAATGGTCACAATCACAAACATTCAGCTGTAATTCAAATTTTTTTTTTAATAGTATTTATTAATGTTCAGTGTGTTTCATGTTGGCAATTATGAGGAAATGTAATTAAAAAAAACCTCTTAAATGAGCAAACAATTGAGAACACGGTCTTAAAGGAGACCTTCACATTGCTGATATTTGAACAAAACATAGTTTTGTTTGTGTATGAGTGTAACTGACGAGACTATTAACAAACAGTTGAACATGCTAAGCTGAAGGCTGCTATGTAAATGAGGCTCGTCTTATGGAAATCAACAAGGGGTGGAAGACCAGACAAACTGGGTTGACAGTTGCTGCTTTACTTTGATAAACTGAACTTACAAGCACCTAGTTGTTTATGAAGTCAAATACCTTGTTCATAAAAGAGAAAAGGTATAAATAAATGAAAATATGTGGATGAACCTTATCTGACAAAGGAATGTCGGCTCGTCATCTGACCTGACTGCCGTCATGTCTGTCATCCTGAAGTTGAAATGCCGGTTAGGTAAAGTGAAGGAGCAATCTGCAACTAGATGCCACTAAATCCTACACACTGGACCTTTTAAGACCCCCTACTACCAATAAATCCTGTTTTAATTTTTTCTGTGTGTGACTTGTTGTGTTTTGTATGGAATCAGTAACATTTTCTCTACTATCCTTCAAGTGATCGGCCGCACAAATTTACAGAGCGGCCGAGGCCAGGAGTTCAGACGGTCTGCTCCTCATTCAGTCCAGGTAATGAGTCATTTTAGGTAGACTTGTATATTGAACATTAACAAACCTGCATGTGTGCTACGTCACTGTTCTCATAATGATCATTGAGCTAGCATATGACAGATATAAAAGATCATTTTTCTGACTTGTAGGTTAAACACTTTTAAACTTTTATTTTTCCAGGTGGGATGTTCTTAGCAACAGGAAGTACTGATGATGTCATCAGGATATATTACGTTGGAAGTGGGACTCCAGAAAAGATATCAGAGCTCCATGAGCACACGGTGAGAACACTCTCAAAAGCACAAGTGATGTGTAGCTTATACAGAGAATATATTGACTTTAACCTTCAGCTTCATGTGATGATCACTCTCCATATTTCTGTTCTCTGTTTAGGACAAAGTTGATAGCATCCAATTTTGCCACTCAGGTGAAAGGTATAGTAAATTCTTTGCACTTACTCACTTTTTTTTTCATAGTAGCTACAATGAATTAAATGTAACAGTGCATACAGTGATGGTGCAAGGTGTTTGTTCCTGTCTCAGGTTTGTGAGCGGAAGTCGAGATGGAACAGCGCGGATCTGGAAGCTCCATCAGCGACAGCAGTGGAGATGCATCTTGCTCAACATGTCTGCCACTCTTCCAGGGTAAGGAGCACTTTGCTGTTGTTACACCAGTGTGGATTTAGTGATGACTGAAATCTTTCTTTGTGTAGAGGTCTTTGATCAGTGACGTCAGTATTTGTGTCTCTCTCAAGAAGAAATTGTGACACATGGATGTAAGCAACAGGATATCTGAAAGATTTTCTAAATTAAGCGCAATCATTTGCTCTCTAGGCCGCATCAAGCAGCTGTCAGAGCATGTAGAAGTAAACCATGTGCTGACGTCAGCTGATGTATCAGAATATTTTATTTGTTCAGTTGTCAGATTGTTTTGATGGCTGCTTCATAAGCAGGTGAGAGGGCTGTGCTACCAGGTCGTGAAGACCTTTTCATAATTTTCAGCTTAAGACCAAAAGATGCGATATTATTGTTTCCAGATAATGATTTCTGAAAACTTTTGCCTGCTCATCTCAAGGATGTGGACAAATTTAAATAAATAAAATGCATTTCTTTATTAATTTTGCTGTGTGCAGTTGTTTAAAATTTACTTTTAAATGTGTTATTAGAATGAACTACTACCCTGGCTCAATTTATGTTTTTTCTAAGAATAGAGAGTGTTTACCTCCATTGACCATGCTGCTGAGACTAACCGCAGTATATTTAATCTGAATTGGACATTTCTTCTTTTTGCTGTATAAGGCTGCTAGTTAACCTAAGTTTACAATCCCTGTTTACCATTGGACAGTCATGCTTGTTTAATAAAATCACATAGTGGCTGCTTTTGGGTTCTCTACGTTGAGCATTATAGCAAAACCTTTCTTCTTGACAATTTGGACTTGGATTGAAATCCAGGTCTTATTTCACTGTCATTCATACAGACTGTGTATGTGCCAAGAAAATACATCACAGAAATTTAAGTCTGCCCATATTTTCAGCTACCTTTTAACTTTTTTAGGGGGCAAAGCAAGAATAAATAGTGTTTATCTGAGAGGAACTATAAAGGAGCATCACTGGCAGTTTGTATAATCCGCTCATCTGCCAAAGGCATTTTCACATTGTCACTGCCTTTTACATTAAATGACTAAAGTAATTAAAATGTTTATAGCTGCGTTATTTCACCGTCAGTACATTTGTATTAAATATGTGTATTAAATTTGAGTGTTAGCTTTACAGAGTGTGTGTGTCTGTGTGTGTGTGTCTGTGTGTGTGTGTGTGAGAGAGATTCAGCTTTTCAATCTCCTCTGCTCGGCTTTCTTAATGGAACAAAATGGGAAGAGTGCTGCTGTTGTTGTTTTTGGGCATAAGTGAAGATACCAAGTTGTTTATCTTATTCAGCAAAGTGAAAGAGAAGAATACTGCTGTTGAAGGGAAACAGGTAGCAACATGTATATTGCAACAGGAAACAAAAGGGATAGTTTGTGCAAAACATAAGCTTAATTCTAGAAATACAGCATCAAATATAAGAAACCAGCTACTCTGTTGTCATTTGTGTTAAGTAATTTACCGGTGGTATCACTATTAGACAGCGTATTTTGCAACATGTAGTGTTTATATTTTCTTATTTATTTTTTCTCTCTCAGTGCCGAACCAATGAGCGAAGAAGAAAGCTACTTCAAACCCAAAGTCACCATGGTAGCGTGGGATCGCCATGATAATACAGTCATCACGGCTGTTAACAACCATCTCCTCAAAGTGTGGAACTCCTACACAGGACAGCTGCTACATATCCTTAAAGTAATTGTGCACATTGTGAACAATTTGCTCCTCATAGCAAATTTTAAAACCAGAGATTAACCCGAACATCTTTTTTCAGGGCCATGAGGCTGAGGTGTTTGTCCTGGAGCCGCACCCTTTTGACCCAAGGATCATCCTGTCTGCCGGCCATGATGGGAATGTCTTTATATGGGATCTGCTGCGAGGGACAAACACACAGCACTACTTCAACATGGTACACTGACACTCACAGCACTATCAGAACATGATGTTTACATGATGGTAAAGAGGTAACAAAACAGACTTAGTTTAGTACGTATTTATCTGTGTGGCTCAAACATCAGTTTACTTCAGGTGTCAGTTTTTCATTGTGTAATCGTCTGTCATTTCTCCTTTATCTGCTTCTTCTTTTAGTCTTTTTCCTCATCTTCCATCTATTTGCATTCTGTTCAGTCTGACTGCCTAATTATTGTCTATTTTTTTTGTTCTCTCTGCACAAGAGGAGGAAAGAAAGTGATTTTTTTAAAAATCTACTTGTACATGAAAGGAAAAAATCATGCAAGGACACATTGTGAACAGGTATTGAAATTTTTGCTCACTAACAAGTTTCTGTACCTGGGGTGATTTTGTGTCTCTCACACAGATTGAGGGCCAGGGTCATGGAGCCGTTTTCGACTGCAAATTCACCCCGGATGGCCAGCGTTTCGCCTGCACAGACTCCCATGGCCATCTGCTCATCTTTGGCTTCGGCAGTTCCAAGCCATATGAGAAGGCAAGGATGAATCTCACATGCACATTAAAATCTTCACGCAAACAATGAATCAGTTTTGCTTCGTGAAAACCACATTAATGCGTTGCATTTTACAGGCTGAGAAAATGTTACAGCCCTTGAATTTTAACACCATCAAAGCCCACTGTATAGTATGAAAATATAACATTGGCCATCAAACCACCACCAAAAATATATGTCTGAATAATCCCACATCACATGCTCATACAAAAGCAGCAGGGTGAAGCTATATCTTATATCTTATATTGCCTCTTTTTCCTGGTCTCCACACAGCTTCCAGACCAGGTGTTCTTCCACACAGACTACCGGCCGCTGATCCGGGACACCAACGGCTTTGTGTTGGACGAACAGACGCAGCAGGCACCCCATCTCATGCCCCCGCCCTTCTTGGTAGACGTAGATGGAAACCCCCATCCGCCAAGGTAGATATGACTTTCTTTCAGTTAAACAGCCATGTCGTCAGTCATGACCTCAGAGTTTAGATGTACATGTAAATTATTTGATTTTGATCTTCTGTTGATTTTCTGTTACTTTACAGCCATATTGCCCCTGTTACATCAAATTGTTATGTAACATTTATAGCAATGTCAGTGTTGGTTTGACTTGCTCTGCTGTGTCAGAACTTATGCAATATTTTAAAATTAAGAGTTTCTTTACTTGATTTGTAGGTACCAGCGTCTTGTTCCGGGGAGGGAGAACATTGCTGCAGAACACCTGGTTCCTCAGCTCGGATACGTAGCCACCAGTAAGATTGGAACTGATAAAGTTTACAGAGGAAAATTTACTTTTTGATATGTAAATCCCAAATCCACGTTCACTGCTTTATCAGACAACTAGATTTAAGAACATCTGAACCATAGCTTTCTGGCTATAATCTCTTGACAAGCTTAACCTTTTTCTAACCATCCCAGTCTAAGTGTTTAACCAGCTACCGTCCCACTCATGTTCTTTGTCTGCCTGTTTGGTGACATCTTCAGGTGATGGCGAGGTGGTGGAGCAGGTGATCAGCCAGCAGACTGCAGAGCATGAGGAGGTTGCAGTAAGACGCAGCAGCCTTCTGGACGAGGCCATCCGAAATCTCCAGCAGCAACAGGATCAGCAGAACCAGCCAGGGACAGAGGCACGGCCGGGGCTTGGAGCAGTACCTGAAGGGCAAGCTGAGGCACAGGGCCCGGCCTTGGCACCAGCACCAAGCACACCACGTAGAGGTATCAATATACCACCAGCGTTTTATTGGATGACATATTGATCCAGTGAGCTGATGGAGGGTAGCTGTGGGATTTTTAGAGTTTCACACAATGTCCTGAAAATACCACTCAATCATTTACTGAAGGTTCATGTTTTCTACCTTCGTTCCAGTATCTGTGAATGATCGAGCAGACGTGCAGTCACCCCCTAATGTGGGTCTGCGCCGCAGCGGACAGGTGGAGGGTGTCCGGCAGATGCACCAGAATGCTCCTCGCAGTCAGATGGCCACCGAGAGAGACCTGCAGGCCTGGAGACGCAGGGTGGTGGTTCCTGAACTGGCAACCAGCAGCTACAGGTAGAGACCTGAGATCTGAATGTTGATTTAACCATCAACAGCTGAAGACACGGCGTGGATGACTGGAAGTGTCTGCTCTTTGTTGTGCTTTATATTGGATTATGTTTTGACGGTGACACTGTTTACATGAAGCATAATTGATTATTTTTATAATGTAATATTTCTGTATGACCGAAATGGAAATTGATCCTTTTCCCATTTTAGTTTAGATCAATATTAAGATAATAACCCAAAGAATTCAACATTTTACACATTGCATAGAAAGGTAAATCTTGATAATTTGCTTTAGTTCATAGTCAGAAAGTCAGTCAAATTTCAGTCAAAGCCTTTTGTTTAATGAAAAGAAAACTGATACATTAGCCTGATTTTCTTCAGACCTCAACAGAGTGAAGGTCCAATGTTTTTATTTTTAGATTGTAAGCATAAAAGATTGATTGATTGACATCAACAGAAAAGTGACAGGTGCTTATGGCTAAACACACCCATCAAACAACACAGCGTGTGTGTTTTACATACATGAGATTTTACTAGAGGGGTGTAACAGTATGCTGAAGTCATAGTTCGGTTCCTATCCCGGCTTAGAGTTACAGTTTAGTGCAAATTTGGTACAGCGTGGGGAAATTTTTTTATTAATTTCTTTATACAATTTTCATGATAAAAATGTTTCAAACATTACTGTATGACACCGGAAAAATTCTTTCACAAAAGATGGCAATTGGAGTCTGCACAACAATGAAAATCTACCGAATTTCTTCTGCTCAAAGTTTTGCTGCTGTTTAAATTTGAAACATTATGTAAATTGTTTTTCAGGGACCAGGAGGACAGTCGCACAGCCAAAGGAGATGAGGAGGTGGCTCTGTACAGCACAAAGAAGAGACGCATTATGTACAGCAGCTGTCGAGTAGGTCTCTTTTTCCTTCACTAATGTAGGAAGTCATAAATAGCAATTTTAAAAAATAGTTTGTGTACCTCCTATTTTGCGAATAGTCATTGAACAATATGTCCTGTACTTCAGTCTGTCTGCAATTTGCATGTAACAGTATATTCATTAGAGCTATTGTGTTGGATGGTATCAAAGTGTGTTCACCATGCTCTCTGTAGGATTGTGTTCATTTGATTTTAGTCATAGATTTAAATAATTGTCAGCATTTGTCTGTATTTAATTATTTTCTTTGTTCACAACAATTTCTGTACAAATCTTGGTACTGGTGTTGAGTCATTCCCATCTGTCCCTTCAGGATGATTCAGATGATGAACCTCACACTGCGAAGCGAGCACACGGCCACAGTGACACGCTGGAATTCATGGACTTGTCGTGTGAAGAGGGAGAGGAGACTGCAAGCTCCGAGGTACACTCTGAGGTATAGCATTCTCCTCTCTCCTGTGACGTTGGTAAAACTTACGCTTTACATGCATCTGAGGTCATTTGGGGGTATTTTTTAGTAATTTTTTGTTTTTATTTTTTAATCCGTTCAGGACAATGAATTGGATGGCAGTGAACTGGATTCCTCCAATGATGAGGAAGAGTGGAATAGTGACAGCTCAAGGTATAAAGTTAAATAGACATGATTCACATGCTATTGGAGACTCATTCTTAGAATTTGTTTTTAACTTGTTTAGAGTACCAGATAAAAGGGTTTACCTGAATCACAAAAAGTATGATACAGACAGAAAAGTATTGACTTTCATGTTAAAACATTGTTACTCCTTTGTCTTAGGTGGCAATCCCCACCCATCTGGTACCCCAAGCAGGTTAAAACAAGTTATTTGATTAAGTTTTTGTATCGCCTGCTTTCATATATGAAACTTAAAATTGAAATTATAACTGCTTCTGATTGGACAGCCACACATCCAGCGAGTACTCGGACTGGACGGCAGACGCTGGCATCAACCTGCAGCCCTCCACCCCCTTGTCATCACGCAAACGAGTGCAGCGCAGACTCAGCACCTCGGAAGAAGAGGAGGAAGAGAATGATGAAGAGGAGGAGAAGCAGCAGCAGCAGAGTGACGAGGAGGAAAAGCCTGGGAAGAAAAGCAAAGAGAAGGCCAAGAAAGCAAAGAACAAGTCACCCAGGGTGAGTGGGTAACCACAGTGCATACAGTATATCCTACTGCACTATTGAGATGCTAATCCTGAGGAATATTAACTGATTCATTATTGTCCAGACTTTAGATTCTGTCATTGAGGAAACATATTGATTTTGAATAGTTTTTAACATATATTTTATAACTGGTTAACATGTATTTTAAACGTTTACAACTTGGTGCTCCAATCAGCGTCCCAAGGCCAGACCATCCATCAACAGAGAAGTCTCCAATGAGTTCAGACCCTCACCATGGATCACTGATGTCATTCCCAGGAAGTCTCCTTTTGTTCCTCAAATGGGCGATGAGGTATGTACATTGGGCATTAGGAGAGGCTTCCAGGACCATGAGAAAACTTTCTTTTGTTGGTTTGTTGAAAAAATTGAAATTATGATCATTATGGCAACAAGATTAAACTAATTTCTTCGTCAAGAAAAGCAGAACAGAGAAACAGAATTAGAAATTGATACATAATCCAAAAGATTATTAGAAATGAACCATAAGAAATGTTCTGATGTTCAGACAATTTTTACACGTTGTGCTGGCTGCGAAATTGGAAAGGTTGGTAAATAATTGATTTAGAAATACTGACCGTGTGGATTGTTCTTAAATATACAGCTAAAGTTAGTTTCTAAGCTCCTACTCTCTCTGTGTGTGTCAGGTGATCTACTTTCGGCAGGGGCACGAGGCCTATGTGGAGGCCGTGAGCCGAACTGAACTGTATCCCATCAACTTAGACAAACAGCCCTGGAAGAAAATGGAGCTGCGGGTAAGAATAAGACATATTTATACAGAAGATAATAATAAGTTGAACATAACCTACAAAATCTTCACTGACACAAACAAACACTGATAATCAAGGAGATGAGGAGAAATCTAGGATCCCAAATTCCTGTTTTATATTTTGTAATTTAAATGCAGGCATTTTTTATTGTAGATGTGTTTTTTTGTTTGTTGTTGGTTTTTTTTGTTTTTAGATTTGTTAATCAAAATGCTAATAAAATTGAAATCCTGCTGTATATTTCCTAGGACCAAGAGTTTGTGAAGATCACTGGGATCAAATATGAAGTCTGCCCTCCAACACTTTGCTGTCTGAAGCTGACTCTTATTGACCACGGCACTGGCAAAATCACAGACAAGTCGTTTTCTGTCAAGTAAGCAGCTCAGTTTCATTAACTGGCTCCCTTTTTAAGAAACACATTAGATATTGTTGCATTTCTAACCCCCATAAGTAAAGAAAGGTGGTATTTGACTGATTCATTGTATGTGTATGAAGATTATGATTCCAAAATTAGGTATTTATTATATGGAAATAATAATGCCTACATGTTGGTTTGCTATTATGATTAGGATAATGAGCTCTCTGATTACAAAATTTTGAGGATAACAATCTGCTTTTGATTTTGACATGCTGGCTGAACTTCTGAAACCGTAGTTTTGTTTTATGAAGTGGATGTGTGTAATTCAGGGTTCAGTTTCACACAGACAAAGTCTTTGATATTTATTGTGCTTCCCCAATAAAGCAAGGCTGATTTCTCCTATCGCGACAGGTATCACGACATGCCAGATGTGATAGATTTCCTTGTGTTGAGGCAAAGTTATGACGAAGCTCTCCGTAGAAACTGGCAGCCAAGTAAGTTTGTGCACCTTGTTAGAGATATTCATCCTCCATGTAAATACATATATCTACATGGAACAAAGGTGAATACATCCTGTTTCCAATGATTCCTCAGTGTTGCCTCTAACATTAAATAGATACCGTGACTGTTCCTCCTTCTCCTAAATCTGGTAACATCTTCTGCCGTGCAGACGACAGGTTCCGCTCAGTGATAGACGATGCCTGGTGGTTTGGGACCATCGTCTGTCAGGAGCCCTACCAGCCAGAATACCCTGACAGTCTCTTCCAGTGCTTCAAAGTCAGGTGAGAAACAATACATGTTATTAGAGGGGACGTGGAAATACTGTGATTGTGGCACCAATACCAAATATTAGCTAGTTTCTAGGACATGCTGCTGGTGATACTGTCACTTATTGAAGCAAAGCTGTGACACTTGCTAGACAGCAGTGAGTGATGTGAAATTTGTGACTTTTGGTTTGTCGGCCTCTTGACACTGCCACCTTGGCAACTAGGAGTTAATAGAAATCCAAGCTAATACTTTCTTTCCAAAATCTGTATTTGAGGTTGGTGTTAAATCTTAATGTTTTTTTTTATATTTAGATACTTTTACGGTCTATAATATATCCAACTAGTCTGTCTGTCCCCAAGTGGTTATTAAGAGGCATGACAGTGTTATGTCCAATACTGGTTTAACTGGTTTAACTAGTTTAACTGAAGTGTGATAGCTGACTTTGGCACTCGTTTGTGTTTTCACCAGATGGGACAATGGGGAAACAGAGAAACTGAGTCCCTGGGATGTGGAACCTATTCCCGATGATGGTAATTGAGACGTTAAGACTAGCTTATTGCTGTCACATCCACACATAAACACAGTACTGTGGTCTTTTTGCGAAGGAGGGTTAATGGGGTTTCAATGCATATTGAACAAGTGTGTCTCTGCTGTGCAGCCCAGCAGCCAGAGACAGAGGGAGGTGGTATCCCTGTAACAGCAGATGAGATGAGCGAGCTGATGTACAAGCCTCTGCAAGGGGAGTGGGGGGAGAGGAGCAGGGATGATGAGTGTGAACGCATCATCGCCGGCATCGACCAGCTCATCAACGTTGGTGCGTACACATAAACAGACTCAACAACAAACTCTTTTGTTTGCTCTCACTCTTACACACTCTTTCATATGTCTCATCCCCACTCACATCAGTGTATCTATAGGTTCCTTTAACTATGAAATAATTTTTTTCCCAGTTATGTATACTAACCTGTTGTTTGCTGTGTTTCTGCTACAGAGATTGTAGCTCCCTTCTCTGGTCCAGTGGACTTAATCCAGTATCCCACCTACTGCACTGTGATCGCCTATCCAACTGACCTGGGCACCATCAGACTGCGACTCCTGAACAGATTCTACAGGTCAGTCCCACTGAGCAGATCAAACCGTGGAAGTATTTGCGCTCCTGACTGTTGACTCAGCTCTGTCCTTGAAATGTCTTCAACTGTTGAAATCCAAATAACTGATGTTTTGTACCGTTTGTGAAGACGCTGTGTATTTACTCACCTCTGGTGGTCCACAGGCGCCTCTCAGCATTAATTTGGGATGCCAGATATATTGCACATAACGCCCGCACTTTCAATGAGCCGAGGAGCAAGATTGCCCACTCTGCAAAAATCATCACAAATGTCCTCCAGAAATTTGTCAAGTAGGTTTCCTCGTCTGTTGTCTAGTTTCTTTTACCCAAATTACAGACTCAATATCACTGAAATCATTTGTGTTGCACACTAAGTGACACATTTTCCTTTCTTTCCAAGTAATCCAAGCTGCACAGATCTCATGGAGATTTACAATGCTGTTGAAGAAATGGATGATGATGATGAGGTAGGTCTAGCTAAAGTCATTAGTTATGATATCTGTTCATGTCCTGCTGTCAGATTACTTGCATTACAAATTAGTTGGACTGACACATCATTTCTGCAGTGCAAACAGTAGAGTGGATAATTAAGAGAATCGGTAAAGGAAACTTAAACTGCCCATCAGCAGTTACAATTGATTGTTAGAAAGGGTGTTTTCCAGCTTTAGTTGCGGGCACCTAATTCCGCAATTGTCATTTGGTATATGATCAGATTCAAGTTATCCAAATTTGATTTCTGCCTACAGGAAGAGGATACAGAAGCACCAGGAACATCCTCTGGACACAGACTGCGTCAGGTAAATAGATACATAGAATAGATAACAAACAAGGTTACATATGAAGGACTTTGTTTAAAAACAAGACAACCGAAATAAAGAAGTATTGGTTGTGCATTTGGTTCATCAGTACTGTCACTCGTGATTATTTTCGAAGGGAAAATAGGGATGGGTATTTGGTAGCAGGTTGATTATGAGATTCAGTAGCAGCATGTGTCACGTGTCATGAGGATTTCCTCTCTTTCTCCTTGATATTTGCAGCGCTCTGTAGAGGTGGTACCAGACAGAGACGCCTGGAAGGAACAGTGCAAGAATCTGCTCAACTACATATTCGAGTGTGAGGACTCAGAACCATTCAGACAGCCTGTGGATCCTCAAAACTATCCGGTAAGTTGACACAACATACCAAGGGCATGCGGTTAATAAAATAACGTCAGCATGTCATATTTTGAGATGTGTATTCCAGTGTTTTGGAAGAGATGTCTGTTGGAAAAGTCTGAATCATGTCTTGTGTGTGCGTGTCCAGGATTATCATGGCATCATTGATACACCAATGGACTTTGGCTCAGTGAAAAAGACCCTGGGGGAAGACCGCTATGAAAACCCTATAGAGCTGTGCAAAGACACCCGGCTAATATTTGCCAATGCTAAAGCCTACACGCCCAATAAACGCTCCAAGGTAGGGGGGAACTGAAGTTTGTGGAAGAAATGTCAGATTAACTGCTGTGACTGTTATCAGGTTGTTGTATGTACATTTTGACTTTAGAGGTAATGTTTTAGGTTATCCGACTCACATTTCCTGTCCCTTTCTAGATATACAGTATGACCTTGCGGCTCTCTGCCTTCTTCGAAGAGCAAATCAGAACAATCATATCGGAGTACAAAACTGCCGTCAAGAGCAGTGACAGGCTCCGCCGCAGTCAGAGGTTCCGCAAGAAAATGCAGCAGCAGGATCAGCCCTCCGCCACAACAAGGTCTGTTAGAGTTTTCTTTAGCTCATCTGCTCAAAAATGGGAGGAACAAGATTCATGCTAGAGTGGGCATAGTATCTAACGGGGCCTAAAATACTGTTACTAACACAACTTGTTTGGTACTGTTATTTTTATCTTATTTGAGAACGAACCAGTACAAAACAAATGCTTGACAATCATCTGATGGTGAAAAGAGTCAGAACATTACTTGTTCATGTTCATGACGAAATTCTTGTTCTCTCAAGTCATAAGAGGGCTGCTGTAAAAACTCAGGAAAAAGTGGAGCCGACGTCCGTGACCAAATCTACCTCAGCCAAAGTGTCAGTTCCTGAGAGAGCCAGGAGGAGTCAAAGCAGCAGCTCAGGTCACAGCTCCTCGGAGGACGACTCCAAAGCTGCTTCATCAACTCCAGGTACAAAGATCTCTTAGTAGGTTCTATAGCAGTAGTCTTTTCATGGCTTTGCTACCAGCAGTCCCATTGCATACTGACTATGTAGACTTTCTTAGAACTATTATGGGAGTAGTTTGGAAGCTCAAAGCTAAGGTGTGAAGGTGCAAAGTTAAAACTTGTTGAAAACTGTTTTTCACACTATGTTTACTTCCCTTTGTTTGATACTGTTCAGTAAAAATTTTTCGAGCATTGTTCAAGATTTAACTTACACAACATAATATACTTAACAATAAGTCTGATAGTGTAGCTCACATGTATAGACAAAGTGTTGTATTTGACATCAGTTTGTGATGGTGTGGTAAATAGAGGCTGAAATGTCACTGTAGGCGTCAATTTAAATCTTGACGTGTTCTTCTCTATTCTGTCCCTGCAGTGGTGGAATGAACTCCCCACGGAAGTCACGACAGCAGAGTCACGGTTTATTTTTCACTGCAGGCTAAAAAAAAAAAACACCTTTCCACTCTGCACCTCGACAGCACACGCTCACTTATTAAAAAGAGAGTTTCAGTGTAGTTCTTCTCAACCCGTTTTGAGCAGTTTATATGGGAGGGTTTTGCATTTCTAATTCTGGATGACAGAAGTTTTAATGCACTTATTATAAAGCGCTTTGGGGAAAAAGGTGTCAACCAAATGAATGTAATGCAAATACTTGTTTAATTTCTTATTTCAGAGTCTGATAGTGAGAGTGAGCTGAGTGAGTCAGAGGAGGAGAAACGCCCAGGTTCCTCAAGACACCATCAACTCAGACAGAAAGCAAGAGTCACCAGAAGCAAATGTGCCAAGCAGAGGAAAAAAGGTGAGGAGCGAAATCCAGTTTTTAAATATCATCGCTCGTTAGTGTTGTAATCAGAAAAAAAAACATGCTGATTATAGTTGAAAAAAGTGACACATTGGTTTTTGTTGCCAGTTGCTGAGAGTGACAGTGAGGAGGAGGAGGATGAAGAAGAGGAGGAATTTGACAGCGAGGGTGAAGATGGTGAGGATGGAGAGATGTCCTCCCAGTCTTCCAGTCGTCGCTACCCCAGCAGGAGTAAAAACAGCAGGAGCACAAGGCTTACCAGGAACAGTGCTGGCACAGAGAGGAAGCGCACAGGTAAACAGTACTGACAACTGCGACTCACACCCAGCGATTAACACAAAACCCACCAACCAAAATGTTAAACATCCTTTCTGCACCGCTCCTTTTCAGAGGGCAGAGCAGAGGTGAACGGTCACAGTAGCAGGTCGTCTCGCAGGGAGAGACGCCACCGCCGCAACTCTGACAGAGCCACATCCCAGGGCTCCGACAGGGAAGAGGAAGAGGAAGTGACGGTTCGCAGGTCACTCAAGAGAAAGACGGCGAGGGCGGCTGTGAATAAGATCAAACTCCTCGAAGCGTCAGATGAAGACTACGAGGAGGAGGAAGAGGAGGAGAAGCCAAGAAGGAGCAGCAGCCGCCTCCGCCACCCAGTCCGGGCCAGCAAGCGCACCGCTGTGATCCAGAGCAGCTCAGATACTGACGAAGAGCCTTCAACAAGGGGTAGGCAGATGCTCTCGTTAGTACTTTTAGCATTCAGTCCTACATTTTAACCATCACATTTAAGGTCAAGAGCAGGATACTCGCAGAATATTCAGTTACATTGCTCTCAGATGCAGCTTTTTTAAAGAGTGCTTTTTACTTCCTTCAAATACCTGTAAAACCTATTTGCATTTTTATGTTTCAGGCAGCTTACAGGATAGATTTTTGCTCAATTCAACCCTTGTTTCTCTTTCTAGCTTCTCGGAAAAAAAAGGTATCAGGTGGTGAATCCAAGGACGAGGAGGATGGCAATGAGAGTGATGCTTCATCCTCCTCCCAGAATCAGCAGAATGGAGACACGAGGTCCAGCAAATGGAGGACATCAAGACAAGCTGCTAAGACCAAGGGAAATGGTGAGAAATGTCCTCATCAGTCAGTTCAGTTTTTGATTTCTAGTTGGAATTGTGATGAAAGTTTCGCTAATCGGGGGGATTTTTTTTTTTCTCCTGCAGATACTTTGTCCCATGTGAATGGACACAGTGCAAAACATCACAAGCCTGACAGCAACTCTGAGCAAGAGGAAGCTGCAGAGGAGAGCTCTGGAGAAGCGGAGGAAGAGGAGGAGGAGGAGGAGGAACAGGAGGTTGTGTCTAAGAAACCCTCTAGAAGCACCGCAACCACTCCAGCCAGGAAAAAGAGGATCACAAGTGAGGAGGAGGAAGAGGAGGAAGAGGTAGAGGACACTGAACGCAGGACCACAAGACACAAACCTCGTGTAAGCTCAGATGAAGAGGACAGAGACCAGGTGTCTCAGAAACACCCGCACCAAAATGGAAGAAATGTGGAGGAAGCCATCCACAAGGACTCTAAGAAAAAGAGTAAAGTTTCACCATCAAAAAGCCAAGATAAACAAAAATCTGCCTCAACTAATAAACTGGATGGTGCAGAATCGGAGAAACTCAATGATTCTCCAAAGAGATCCAGCCCACGCAAGAAAAAACTGAAAAAAGATGAAGAACCTGATATGGAAAGCAATCACTCCAGTGAGGAATTTGAGGTTGAAACCAAGTCAAAGAGGCCAACGAGAAACAAGAATAAATCGAAACGGCCTCATGGCGACACCTCGGCTTCAGAGAGTTCTGAGCAGGAATACAAACCCAAGAGGAAGTCGAGGAGGAAACGCTCCACTGGCTCATCAGACGAAGAGTCGGACAGTTCAGGCAACACTTCAAAAAGACGGCTGAGCCTCCGAGCCCTACCAAAAAAGAAATACATCAGTGACAACTCTCTCTCTGAGGAAGACTCTGCCTCGGCGAGCCAGGGTAAACAAAGGAATGGTAACAAAACAGCCACAGCGTCCAGGGAAGACAGGAATAATAAGAGAGAGTCTGACAGAAACTCCCCCAATGAAGCCAGGAATCAGCTGTCTTCCAAGAGAAAGCGTATTTACACCTCAGACTCTGAAGATGCGAAGGAGGGTGCACAAAAGGAGCCAGTGTCCAAGAACAGTAAGAACAGCCGGTCGGACTCCTCAAAGCGTCCCAAAAGGGAATCCAAACAAACAGATGGTAACCGCAACAAGGAAGTCACCTCTTCCCAATCTGATTCCAGCGAAGAGGAGGAGGAGGAGGAGGAGGAAGATGTTGGTCGTTCAAGGAGCGGGAAGAAGAACTCGAGGCGGCCAAAACACAAACGGAAGGAAAGCTACAGCAGCAGCAATCATAGTTCTGACTCAGAAAGCGAGCAGTCAGCTTCGGCCTCCGATAACTCCAGCTCAGGGTCCCACAGCAGTCCAAAGAGGAGAAGTCATAGACGGTCTGGGATTGGTGAAAGGACTGCCAGCCGCCAGCTAAGGCAGCGCCGCCGCCAGTCTGCCTCAGAGGAGGAGAATGAGGAGAACAGTGGTGAGTCGTACAGCCAATCGCAGCGCAAGACGCGAGTGAACACCCGTAATCGGGGGAAACGGACAGTTACTTATCACGACAGCGAATAAAGGACGTTTGCGGCTGGAACTACAGAGATTGACATTAACTGGAGACGTTAAAGACACTTGATGGCCACGTTATGGTAGTAGCACTGGAGTCCTCGAGAGAAAATGCTGTGAATCTGTTTCATTCAGGGATATTTATATTTTCTATGAAAAACATGTTTATAGATGTAATACAAATTCAAGCATTTGAACTGCTGGTTTTTCGCAAGGATACAGAGCAAAACACCACCTCCCATACTGCTTGTTGTGATTTGGCCAGCAGAGTAACCATTCTGGGGAATCTTGTCAGCTTGGGTGCTATCTAATATACCTCTGTTTAATCAAGCATATTGCTGGCTTGCACTAAGATACACTGTAATGAGGTATTTCATACACTAGTTTTGCATTAGAAACTCAGGGGTCAACTAAGTTTACTGTAGTCTCAGACATGCAGTTGTTTTTTGAGCTAAGGTAAGGACAAGAAACAATTCCAGGTCAGCAGATGTCCAAGCACACTCACTGGGACAAAACGAATCCATGTTCAGACTTTTGACTACAGCACTCCTTTGTAAATCCACACACTTGCTTGACTGTATTCTGAGTTGATATGAGCCAAATGGACGAATATGAATTCTTTTCCCCATACCATTTCATTTTCTATAATTAGTTTTGTGTTGTATTTTAGTGAATAGATGTAAATATATGATTAAGAATGACAGTGTCTGATAGCTTTGGCGATCAGTCAGTAGCAAAACGTTTATTTAAATTTGAGCTTTTTTTTTTATTTTCCTTTCTCTCTTTTTTTTTTTTTTTTTTTTTTTTTACATTTAACTGTATTGTCTTGCCATATGTCACAAATTGGTACGTTTTTGCCAAGTACAAGTAACCAAAAGTACTTATTGCAAAATACTGTGATTTCTCATATTGGGAAGACTTTTTATTGTTGTCCTGTGTTACCTACTTTCAGTATTAAATTCTTTTTCAGAGTTGACGTAAAACATTTTGCCAGTCACATGGTTTAGTTTTGTTTATGGGGAGGTTTCTAAATACAGTCGCTTTATGAAATTTTGCTTAATGTTTTTCGTACTACACCTTTAATAACAGATTTCACAGGAAAACTATTAACGCAATGTGGTTGTGGAGTGCAATGAATTGAGTTATTCCTCCTATTAATAAAGACATCATTTCAAGGTCTGTTCTGTGATTGTTTTTATTTTAATCTATAGACAAATCCTTATGTCTATACAGTAGGTCTCTGAGCTCATCTATAATTCTCCATACTAGGCTCCTGTGAGCATCAGGGTTCTTATGTATTCGAACCATCACTCACAAAAGCTTAGTGTGGACTAAATGCTGCTCCGTCGTAAAACCACAATCTACTAAAAAGTAACTTGGATTATAGCATAATTAGATTGTCTTGCTCAGTATAATTATTGCCGGTATAAATGTAACAGACTGTAAGAAATACAATCGATTTACATGATTTATGAACGGGACTTCATCCTGGCTTGCACAGAACTAATATTTTGACATAGTCCAAGTTCAGTTCCTAAAATATTGTGCTTCTGTTTCCATGATTTTATATCGAGATTCAAAAGAATAGTTCACTGTTTGGGAGATGTGCTTACACAGCGGATAACTACTTTATTTCCAATTCTCCTTTTTTAAGACCATTTACCAAGTCCATTTACCTGGACAGTAATAAATGAATTAGTAATCTCTGAATGTTTCATTGCCAGACACCCATTAAAATAAAACAATATTGCTGCAATACAAAACCATTTATTTCTTGATAAATCATTTCTCATCTTCTAGACTAACAATTAACTATTTGCTTCCCTTGTTACCTTTATTTATGATATCTCGGTATTATTTGCTCAGTTGTTATCCACATATGTTGTATACTTAAATATACAACATGTAACTATTCAGGTACAGATGAGTTTTACTGTATTCAATTTTGGTACACGACATTAACCTGCTTTTATTGTGAAGGGGCTTCCGTTGTGTCTGGGTGACGACATCACGTAACTTGTTTTCGGTAGCGTGCCGCACTTTCGACAGATTTCATTAAAAAAGGTTTTAATTATTGTTTTAAGGCAACATTGTAAAAATGAAGCACATTTTCGAATAATATACACAGTGCCATATATTATTATCGCTATAATGATACGTATTTATGTATTTAAATGTTCTTATTGTTTCACGAAACTACCACCTGCTGCTGTCATTTAATCAGCTTAGATAGCGAGCTAACATGTGAGCAGTGGAGGGTGTTAGATAGACAGGTACCCTTCCTCATAGATACATCCTGTTACCCCGAAGAGAAACGTTTTTAATATATTAACGTTATTTACATTAGTTATTTAGATTTTCCGACTTTTTCCAAACAGGCTAACATTGAAGCTAAAGTTTAGCATGTCCTCTGTCAGCCACTGTCAACACTACAAGCTTCAGTAGACATCACCAGTGCATACAACAACAACAACAACAACAACAGCTTTAGGTCGAAATGTCTGCCTGTAAAAGGTTGCTTTCCTTTGTGAAGCACAGAAACTTCTGGACACCTGCTCGGAGACATGTCACGACTTGGTCTCCGGTTGGAGCTGCTTTCAATGCCAAAGCTCAGAGGCTGAACGTGTTCGAGAAAAACGTGGTTTGTATTAGTCTTAAATGTGTCTCTGTCTAAGTTAACTCACAACACTGCTGTATTAATGCACAGAAATATCACTAGTTCGTGGTATAAAGCCTGTGTTGTGTGTGTGTGTGTGTGTGTGACCTCTGTTTACAGGGTTTGTTTGGAGTACCAGAGCTGAGCTGTCCTGCAGGCTTCCAGGTTGCCACAAAGACAGCTCTCAAAGACACAGAGCGCCTGCTGGAAAACGCTTGTTCTGGTCCTCCAGGGGTTGAGACAGTCCAGTCTTTTGACCACCTCTCAGATGGTTTGTGCAAAGTGGCTGATCTGGTGAGTTCAACACCCAGGATGTACTAAAACCTTGTATTTCATTAATGTAATCGAGCTATCGTTATTTCATGGGATACCTGACCGCTACCCAGGTGATATTCAGCAAGTTATTATGCAGAATAAGCTTCCAGGTAGTTCTGTTGGTGGGCAGCATCAGGGTTAGATGACTGGAATAGGATAAAATAGAATTGGACAGAACTTATTACTTACTTATTGCCCCAGCAGGGCATACAAGTTTTATCACACAGTCATCAGTTATATATGAGCAAAGAAATAATGAAATCTTTCAGTATGGAGATATTTTAATGTTGTATGTTCATTATATTGATTTCATACAAAGGCTCTATTACATATCTTCTTATTCACCAGAGTTGCTCTATATTGAAGACATTAACTCAGAAGGTGGAGGGGATGTTTAACAGTAGACTAATTTAACTGCAGTTTTTATGCAGAGCATTTAATGTTTTTGTTGATGATCAACAATTTCCCCAGCTCTTCTAATGACCATAGCTACGGTCAGGGTACCATACCAGACTGAGATGCTAAACACAAATATGCTCTCTGAAATGTAGTTTGTATTTTAGGTAAGGTTTCTGCATGTGTCTGCAGGTAAAGCTGGTCCACGTGTTCCAAGGGTGCTATAATTGGATGTCTGTGACAACAGGATTACAGTGTCTGTACACTTCTGACCAAATCATCTAACACTGAAATTGTACTGTGACCGCAGACTCATGTATATGTCCTGCTAGTATATTCATATATATATCTATATTGTTATTTTTTTTAGTATATCCCTGCACATTACTCTGCACTTTACTGCTTTGAATTTGCTTACCTGCATTTCGTTGTCTAGTACTTTGTGCAATGACAATAAAATTTAATCTAATCTAATCTAATTTGATGTATTGTTCATTTTACGCTTCTTCTGTTCTCTGTAGAGAGTAAACTGCAACTTTTTCTTCCTATAACAGGCAGACTTTATAAAAGTAGCACATCCAGATCCGGCGTTTCGTGAGGCTGCGGAGAAGACCTGCATAGAAATTGGCACAGTTGTGGAGAAGTAAGAGGAAATGTATATTGATCTTACCTTTACAAACACACATGGAGCTTATGATCAAAAAGAAAACATGTTTTCATTGTGCTGCTTACAACAGTAAGATAATGCTCAGTTGAGAGCAGTCTTGAGTAGATAGATGTTCAGGTTTGCTGTTTGTGTATTTCAGACTGAACACTAATGTTGAGCTATGCCAAAGCCTAAAAAAACTACTGGACAACCCGGACATTGCTGCTCAGCTGGACCCTGATACGAGGTAATTTAGTATATGTAGGCTCTACTGTAGGCTCCTTGTATCTAAAGTAGATGTTGAGACTGCTGTGGATATATTACATAATTGTATTGATTATATCAATAATTAATAATATCTTGTCCAATGATGGTAAATTATTGATGTATTTCTGCCTTTCCAGACGAGTGGCAGAGTTGTTCATGTTTGACTTTGAAATCAGTGGAATTCATCTGGATGAGAAACTGGTGAGATGGTTGTGATGTGTGGTTGCCTGTGAAACATGAATGTAAACAGACGAGTTATCAATAATACATTAAGACCTCTCCCCTGTACGGTATTTACTGAACATGCTGCTGTTCTCTCTGCAGAGGAAAGAGGCAGTTGCACTTCATGTGAAGCTGTTGGATCTCAACAATGAGTTTCTGGTCGGCTCTCACCTGCCCAACAGAATTGCGAGGTCTGCGATTCCTGAACATCTACACCTGCACTTTGCGAGTGAAGGAAGCTTTGTCCAAGTTGGGGGATTACATGCAGATTCTCCTAATGACTTGGTATGTACTTTATTTGGTCTGAGTCACTGGAACATTTCTCCTATTTGCTCAGCAGGTGGTGCCATTGCCATGTGACAGATCATAGGGCTGGATGTAAGAGCAGGTTGAAGATTATAGTAACCTATTCTGTCTGATCAGTTTTCAGATTTTCTTTCATAACACTGAAAAAGTGTTTTAGAGAGAATTTTTGTTATTGAAATATTGTCTCCAGCCTCTTTTGCAAATCTTTTCTCTCAAAATTAAATTAAAACTTGAATGTAAAGATTTTGATATTTCTGTTACTTTTAGCCCTTTTATGTTATACACTTATAAGTAAATAACATTTTCTATAACAATAACGTTAATATCATAATGGCAATGGAAAGGTAATTATTAGTCTTCTCTCAGGAATTAAAGCAGAGAGCAGTATGATACCACAGTGTAAGCTAAGCCACTTAGAAAAGGACAGTTTACATTTATGTATCAAACATAACAATCTGACAATACAGATAAGGGTAAAGTAAGTTTTAGTTTTTCATTTTAGTCTCCATCTGATCTTTCATTGATTTTTCTTGTTTTACAACTTTTGTTGATATGTTGCTTTTTATTTATTTATGTTTTTAAATATATTTTTGGGGGCTTTTTGCCTTTATTGCTTAGAATTGATGTACAGGAAAGGGCGAGAGAGGGTTAATGACAAGCAGCAGAGGGCCACAGGTCATATTTAAACGCATGGCCGCTGCGGCAAATGTTTTTCAAATGTTAGGTTGATAGATAGGTTGCGTCTGTCCTTTCACTTGTAGGTGAGAGAAATTGCCTACAGGATTTACCTCTACCCGAATGCAGATCTGATGGAGTGTCTGGAAGAGCTGCTGAAATGCAGATACAAACTGGCCAAACTGGTGGGCTACGAGTCCTACGGACACAGAGCCCTAAAGGGAACAATGGCCAAAACCCCAGGTTCATATGTCTCTTTGCTTAAGTATCAACATTGTTATCATTAGTCAGTGCTGTAGCTGTATTTCTAACTGTTTGTTTGATGGAAGATTAATTGAATTAATATTTCAGTATTTACTTCACAATAATGGTTTAATATGCACCAGATAATTCTCATTTTAGAGGTTTAATACAAGCTACAGAAATGATTTTCTAAGCTGCTTTTTCTGTGCCTTCGGCAGCTAGTCTCGCTTCATAGTTTTACATGATGCAACTTTATTAATTTTATTACTCTTTGCAGAGACGGTGATGAGCTTTCTTCAGTTGTTAACAGACAGGCTGTCAGACAGGTACAGTCACCTTTTAAAAGCTTTTATTGAAGATGTAAAAAAATATGTACCAATCCAATATTCTCTTGGGCAATCTACGTTGACGGTTATTATCATGACTGTCGTTAAAGGTTCAGTGCTTCCCTTT